AAAGCAGAACAAAGCCATGTCCCCTCCCCCAGCCACCCCCATCCCACAAAAAAGCCTTAAAAATAATCTGTGCAAAGCACATTAAGCGCTATACGATTCTGAAGTTCTTGCAATTTACTTGATTATTATTTCTAAATAATTTTTGTTCATCATTTGTCACCATCTATACTATTGTTTCTATTGATACTTCTACTCCACTGTGTTTATTATCTGCCTTTAGTCAGTGGTTACTTCGCAGCTTTAGATTAATATAACAAAATTATCATTATTATTCATATAGCTGCTCCCAATGACTACATGTTTTTACTGTATATTACACTGAAACAGGGTGTTTGTCATAAGGAATACTCAATATTACTTTTATACTTGCTTAGGAAGTATAAGCAGAATGCAGGACTTTGTAGGTTGTGCTTCAGTCAATGATCTCGGTGCTTCTTCCACCACCGCTAAAACACAGACTGTAAACTTTGTGAAGCGAGGAACTGAGTTAAGTGACTGTTTCTGCACAAAGTGCTGGAACACGGTAGAGTCCATTACATAAAAGGGAAGGAACATTTAGACAAAGGCAATTACGGGCACACATTTCCTTTTTGCTTCTCGTCAATGCGATACCTTTGGACTGACTGAAGTCACCCCGAAAAATGTCTTCCTCTCTGAAGGCCGAGTGCGAGGGAATTGAATCAGGAAGCCATTTTCCTGGTCTCGGGTATCAAAAACTCTGAATCAAGTTGAGGCTGATTGGATTATTCACTGCAGGAATTTGAAACTTTGTCTAAATAGGATCAGCCAGGTGTAACAGCAGCCCAGTTTACTGTACTTTTTGACGATTTGATTTGCAGCTTTCAGCAAACAGTAAATTGAGAAAGACAAGAATTGCTGGAGTGGCACAATCTCCAAGTTACAGGGAAACAGGAGGAAACACTGTATGAGCACTTTTCAACCAGAGAGCTGATGAATGCTGAATAAAGATGAATATTGACGGTCCCCAACTCGGAGGGTCAAAGAAGTCGGCCTTTTGGTTTAGATTTGATGATTTCAGTCTGTTTCTGAATCGGTCAGTAAGTCGCTGTAGGTCGGTTTATGTACACGTCTTCAAATGGAAAAACAGTTGCAAGGATGGGCCTATGGCGACTTTCAGATTAAATTCCATTTGATGCAAATGATTTAGATAACAATGGTAATAACCATTATGCTCCAATACATTTTTTTTTTTCCTCTTGGCCTCTTGCCAGGCCTTTACCCCCATTCCCACATACAGGAGATTGCCACCAACAAAGCCAGCTTTCTAATGCTCTTAGTGTGGCAGGGAAAGAGTTGTGTGTCTGTGTGTGTGCAGAGTGGTGTGTGAAGTTCAGTGGGATGAATAGTGTCTTTTTCAGTCTTTGTCTGTCTTTTCCCCCAAATTCCCTTTTGGGTAAGCTCACTGCAGATCCGCCTGAACTCGTAAGAGATAATCTTGCTTCTGTGCCAGTGATGGAGTGTTGGGAGGCCGTGGAGGAGGAGGAGGAGGTGGAGGAGGAGGTGGAGGAGGAGGTGGAAGAGAGGTGGATTGAAAGTAGAGGGAGGTAATGAGCAGGCCAGGCTGTATGTGGAGTGTAATTTAGCAGTCATAACCAGAGGAGACATTATAGTATTTCACAGTAAGTAAGCGTGAAACCACAGATTCAGGTGTCAAAACACGGGAACTCTACTCCTCCTCTTAATGCGATCCTGTTTTACCTCCCGGCAACTTGTTTTTCTGGCAGGGAGTGTGAAACCAACGGGTTTTGTACCTTGTATCCTAGCAATGAGAGTGGATTGTATACTGGGAGAGAGTGTGTGGCACTGAAAGCCCCTCTTGGACTGACACTACTTGACTTGGCCTCTGCTGCAGGCTTTTTTACACACAAAAACGGATGTAGTCTGTCAGACATAGGTCTGACAGGAATTTCAATGGGAATGAGCTTCCCACAAAGTTTAGTGGACTGCAGTGATGCCAGAAATACAAGTGGTTTGAATGTCAGTGTTTGTGTTAGCAGCACTGAGGCTTGTGATTGGCCCACAGCACAGCGTCCTTCAGGTGTGTCACGTCTGCATTTGATAAATCACATAATACAGAAACCTGATGTATCTCCTCTTTTCTTTGTCCTGCAGGTTGCATTGGGAAAGATGTGTTTTTAAACCAAAGCTGCTGGGAGATCAGGAGGTGACATGCCTCTGTGAAAGACCACTGGAAACAAATGGTGAGGAGTCACATGGTTTATGATGCTCCGTCTTCCTGATCCTGTTTTAACCACCGAGTCTGACTTTGTGTCGTCATAAATACTGAAAGTAACACAAATGTCTTCTTTTCTAACTGTGGGTTCTGTGTTGTCTTCACATGGTGAGTCTGCAGAATGAACAGACTTCTGCAGACACCAGCATGTAGAACTGGTCAAGAGTAGGGGTTGATGATATGTTTTTAATTAAACAAATTAACAACTGACTTTTTGAAACTGATACACATTCGGATACATATACATGACACACACTGGCAGTAAAAATAAAAGTCTCCAACGAAAAGCTTTACTGCTTTTGTTTATTTATGTTTTCCATATACCTCATTGAGCTTTTTAACATTTCCATGCTAATAGGCTATTACATACTAGATCATTTAGACTATTACATACTAGGTAATTTAGACTGTGAGTAGATCCATCATGTGACTTTTACGACCCACAGTTCAGGCCTGTTACCTACTAACCTGCTTCCTGTAAAGAAGCCCCAGAAGCCAAAGTGTGTTTGGTTCCTTTGTTGTTCAATACTTGGATCAGAGTGCACGTTGTCAGCTGGATATTGTCCTGACTGACGCCCAACTTCTGCTTTTGCTGGTGCCACATGAACAGTGTGGAGAGTCTCTGTTGTCTGCTTGCTAATCACATTGGTCATGGAAGACAACAAAAACAGTTTATTTGCAGACCAGTCTGTCGTCTGTCATTCCTCCCAGCCAAGTCAGGGCAAGAACTTATGACGTTTTTACCTAATAACACTAAAAACCCAATGACCCTGGCAGGGAGGGGTCTGCAATCAGCGTTAGCTGGATGGTTGCGGCAGCTATTGGAACAGAGCATGTGCAGACCGAATAGGCGAGATGTCATCACATACTGAGACCCTAAATGACTTCAGTACAAAAACAATATGTTGTTGTGGATCAGGAGGCCTCGTTTGGCTTTCTTGTGGAAACAAATGTTCTTTGGACTGAGCCACGATGTGCACAGGAAATGAAGAGCAGTTTTAATATTATTTACTTGAAATGGGCTGAATTAAGGATTGTATCATAATAATCTTGATTTTCTGTCTCCACTATGTTCAGCACAGACAGTCAGTTACAGAATGAACAACAAATACACAGCAAATTGTGATCTCTGTAGTTATGCCTGTAATAAAAAACATGTTTGACAAATCCCGTTACAGTAAATGCCAGCATCCTTTCTGACATCCTGTCTTCCTTCCTGTAGCTCTGCTGCCATGCCTCCGGGGATGGTACGTCGTCTTACAGTGTTGGCAGTCCACGCACTGCTGCTAGCCATCGGCTGGCCAACAACTTCATTACCCAATGGTGTGGCCCAAGCGTCAGACTTCTCCCACTCTGATCTTTATCCCACCTTTATCCGGAATGACACTCTGTTTGAACACCTGGCCCTGCACCCTGACCCCAGCGTGGGTCGGGTCTACGTTGGAGCCCGAGATCACCTGTTCCAGTTGGATCGGTTCCTCCAACCTGAACTCCAGGATGACACCGGACCGGTCACAGACAGCCGGGAGTGTTTGCCTCCTGTAACCGAGACCAACTGCCCCCAGGCCAGAGAAACCAGCAACCACAACAAGCTCCTGCTGGTTGATCCGTACTCGATGGAACTTATTACCTGTGGGAGCGTCAACCAGGGAATCTGCCAGAAACGTAGTCTGGACTCAGTGGATATAGTACTGTTCTCCACTGAGAGGCCGGTGGACACTCAGTACGTAGCAGCTAACCACCCCAACGTTAGCACTGTTGGGCTTGTGGTTCGCTCTCATCCCGACAGGCAGCCGGTGCTGTTTGTGGGTCGGGGTTACACCAGCAGCCATCCGCCTATTTCCACACGAAACCTTGCACAGGAACCCGTCTTTTCCTACGAGGAGACGGCCAAGTTGGCCGTGGCTGGCCGCCTCTCTGAGTACGACCATCATTTTGTGGCCTCGTTTGCTCACCGTCAGCACGTTTACTTCCTCTTCTACAGGCGAGACCTGAAGTCGCAGTCGCGCGAGTATCGTACCTACGTATCTCGTGTGTGTTTGGATGACCAGGCCTATTACTCGTACGTGGAAGTACCCCTGACATGTCGCTCCAGGGCGGGTAAAATTTACAACCTTCTGCAAGCTGTCCAACTCGGGCTGTCCAAGGACGGTGGAGAGAGCCAAGGTTCAGAGAGTCTACTTGGTGTCTTCTCTACTCGTTTGGCTTCATCAACTCGGCCCAGCGAAGACTCGGCTCTTTGCATGTTTAGCCTTGAAGATGTGGACCGACGGATCAACTCCACCAGGGACCTGTGCTACACACAGATGGGCAAAGAAGCTGGTCTGGAGGCGGCCTACATCGAGTACGAGGTCAAGTCCAACTGTGCCAACCTGCCAGAGGTGAGCCTGAATTTGTTATTTCTATGGTTATTTACTGTCATTGGGTCAAAACAAGTGCGAAGAAATAAGCACAACGCATCATTTTTTGGAAATAATTTTGATTCAACCATTGCAGCCAAATTCTAAACTACATTGACAAGTGGTGAGCTTCCAGCTGACTCCTGATTTGTTGTTGTGGGAACTTTACTGTCAGACACTCGACTCCCACTCTATGGTGGATTTTACAACTTAGCTGTTACCAGAATCCACACATTTCTTTGACTATGTGTATGTTTTCACATCTAAGTCTTTAACAAGCAAATGAATGTTGTCAGGCTTGAGGAGCAACATATGGGACAGTGAATAATATATTTCTTGTAGTCATAAAGATATTTAAAAAATAGCATTTATAAAAACAACACTGAATTAATTATAGATAGAATAAAATGGGAACCAATTGCACTCGACTAATTCAAAAGAACTGATGATGCCAAATCCTTAAACAGGAAATAATATATCGAGCAGTTTCTGGATGTTTTTCAGCTCCTGTCACATTTTTACTCCATTTAGGCTCATTTTTTACTGCAATGTAAAGTACCGCAGCACTATGGAAACAGAACAAGAATGTCTAGAAGCAACGGGAACTCAAAAATGTCTTCTGCAGTATGGGTCATGAATTATTTAAGAAAAAAAGGAAAATAGATTTTTTTTGACAGAAGTCAAGAAGCTCCTCACTCCTGGTCCAACCTGGCAACTCTGTTCACTGAGAAATTTCAGATTCAAGTACAATCCTGTTGCTGTAGTTCGTCCATACTGCTCCAACAAAGAGAGCTGCAGTTTAATGACAGGGCTACGATGCACTATACTGACATCTTGCTATATTTAATGCTTCATTGTTGTGCCAATGGAGGAGTGGAGAGCTATAGCGTTGGTTAATAAAAAATAATAGTGCCATAGACGATAAAACTGTGAGCCTAAAAATAATTTTGGTTCTAAAAAACAAGTTTTATTATCTTCCTTCTTTCAATAACTACCACAAAATTACACATTAGTAAGTCGCTCTCTCCAGTGAAACCACAGTGAAGCACAGATAGCGGCGGCGGCGCTCCACTCCCTGGTGTCAGTGTTGGTAATTGTATGTTTGTGTGACAGAGTGTTACTATAAAGAAAAACGACTGCCTGCAAGAATAATGGTGGCCTTGTGCTTTATTGTGTAAAAATGTCATTTGGGGTTATTAAGAACTTCTCCCATTTATTTTTTTTTTACTTCTCAGAGACAGAAGGTGAATTAACCCGGGGTTTCAGTCGGTATATTGCAAACTCAGCAGCCTGCCGCGGCTAAGTATCTGGGAAGGTGTTTTTTTTAAACTCCAGTTCCAGTCGGGTGGTTCGGTTTAAACAGACATAATGGTTGGAAAGCCCACCAGTGGTGTCTCACATTTGCGGCTCCATCGAGTCAGCAATGCTTGGCGAACACCTCGTCCTTGATAAGTTACCTCAGAGACTATAGCAGGCGACCTTAATGCTGCCATCAGTCTGGCCTGTGCTGGATCCTCATCAACTAACACAGTTGGCTGCAGTTGTGTAGCTGCTGGAGGCTCCATCAGTCTCCTGGAGGACTGTCAAAGAATCAAAGACGTTTTTAGCAGCCGTCTCTCTACCTGCCGTCTTTGTGTCGCCTGTCATTCAGGTGTGAATAAAAACTACTTTTCTGGCAGATATTGTGAAACATCCCGTTGGACACGACGCTCACCGACACAAACCTCCTTGTTTTTATGGTTCTGTTTACAGAACACGTCCAGTTCTGTGTTGTCCAAGTTACTCTTCATTTATTTTGGCGATGACTGTCCTGAATAAAAGCTTTCATCCTGCCAAAGCTCGTGCCATGCATCTGAAGCTGTCCAGGTCCGTCCCCTTCCAGCAAAGTGACCTTTGCATGAGAGAGGATGAAATTTAATTTGACTTTTTTTTTTCTGTAATGCTGTGGAGGACGGATTGAATTACGTCTCATAGCACCAAATCTGAACATCCTGACTTTAAGATGATGTGTTTGTGCGCATTCCGGTTAAACTTTGCATTTGGAGTGGTATTATGGGCTAGTTTCACATCTCCTTCTATCATCACTACCTTTTCTTTTTGTTGAGGATGTGAGACCTTCAACCTGTGCAGCCATGTACAGCAGACTGGCTCGAGGGGGAGAAGGTAGTGCGGGTGGTGTAATTAAATAAAATTGCTGTTGAGGGAGGCATCGATCGGCGGCATTAACCGTACTTAGTTGGGTGGGGTTGGCGGTGATGTTTAACAAGGCCTGACAAGGACGGGGATAAAGACACACCGGGTAGAGACAAAGGTCTGAAGGGCAGAGAGAAAACGCCAAGGAAAGGAAAATAGCTGGGAATACGGGTTTTGTTTTTTGAAAGTCATCATGAAAAAAGGGAACTAAAGGGAAGCCTTACGGTTAGAGGGGGACAATGTTGAGACAAAAATGAGACTGAAAGGAGATTTACAGTAAGATTACGATGTCAAATGGTGATGGGATCCCTGTAAACAAGCCCATCTGCAGACTCTCACGCAAGCTTCTCAGCTGTCGGGGAGAAAAACGATCGTTACTTATGATCAGGGACTTGATTTTGGGACTTGTACTGAACAATGTAGTGGCCAAAATGCAACTTTAGGAGTCTTTTGTCATCGTCTTACTCCCTCATGGTTATTACTCTCCTCAGATGATTGCAGTCTGCACAGCACTTATCAGCATGTGTCATTACAGCGTAATCACAGCCTGCGATGAGCCAAACCAGCCTGTCACATGCCAATATTTAAGCTTCCAGGCCGTGTTTCCAGACTGGACGTCATAACTTCATAACTATTTCAGTAGCCGTAATGTAGTTTGGGGCTATTCTTAGCATGCAGTCATCTCTGCTTGTTTTGATTGGGGTCTTATGTACACTGTATACGCTATACCTCACTTCCCATGCGTATCTTATTTTTACAACCCGGTGTAAAGTTCTGTGCACTTTTTTGAATGAGGAAGATATCCCGACTGTACCGGTTGTATCTCAGCCGTACAAGATCAGCGGTGCTTGTACATGAGCAGTCTCTATTTCTTTAGCACAGGCCAAATAAGGAGCCCATTCATAACATCACACCAGCCAACAACATGCAATCCATCAAAACAAGTAGCTTTCGGCGGCCAGGGCTCTCAGGTTCATTGCCTCTATTTCCCATTGTTAAGATTACCAATGATGAAGCAATGACCCTGCTTTCAAACATTCTTGTGGAAAAATAAATTGCCCGGAACAAAAAACAACAGCCCTGCCGCCAGAGCAAAGACTCCCTGCTGCCAAACTGTGGAAGCAAAAACAAATCTTGTGTAAGCTTTAAAGCACAGAGCGTGGAAGCCACTGGATCCCCGTTATACTTTGTTCCCAAACCCCAACCCCCTTCTCAATAAACCCTGCTGGGATTTTACGAACCACATTAGGAGCAGTGCTGATATATTTTTGGCTACTGACACACCGGCTGAAAAATTAATAACAAATCACTTAAAGGGCTTCATTTTTGTTCAGAACAAGTTTTGCAGTTGACGTTTTTCCAGCTTCCATGATGCTGTAGTCACTGAACATGGACTTGTCTCCACCATCAGAACACCCTGGACGCCTACCCTTGCGGCTCCGACCACACCCCCAGCCCGATGGCCAGTCGGATCGCCGTGGAGGTTGAGACTATCCTGGACAGCCCGTCCGCCCGTCTCACCGCCGTGGCCGTCAGCGTGAGGGCGGGACATACCATCGCCTTCCTGGGAGACTCCAAAGGGAACCTGCACAAGGTAACTCACCGCTGCAGACTCCAGGACGTGCACAGACAGGTTGTCGACCTGCGTCTGTTCCGACACACACAAAAAAATCCATAACAAGAGGAGTTTTGTGCATGAGCTAGCTGTGATGTTATGCAGAGATTGTGATGTTATTTCTGGAAATTCAGTGCGCTCGACAACTTGGGTCATTATTTTGACTCGAGAGCCTATTTGGGGAACATGTGTCGGCTGTTCCTTATGTAACTGTAATACTTGCACCCAGATGTGACAGTCAACTCAACAGACATCCAGTTCAAGTCGTTTCTCTGTTCACCTTCAGACGCTGGTTTCTGTCTGTTCCTTTGCCAGCTAGAGGAGGTTTAAAATAGTCTGTGTGAGCAGGAAGGCGGCAGAAATGATCTCAAGAGCAGAGTCCTGGTTTGAAGATCGTACTAAGATTTTATGTAGATGTTTCTATTGTATTAACTCAGCTCACTCATTATACGACAGGAACATAGACCAACAAAATCATCAGTGTTCTCCTGATAAATAACTTGATTTTTCTCCAAGACCACTGATCCACTAATAAACAGAGTATAAGACACACATACGATATGAAACACTGATTCCTTAGTTTTAAAGTTCAGTATCACAAAGCTGATATTGCCAACGACCTCCATTTTTGACCAATGGGCTGCAAGTAAACTAAACCTGCATATTTCATGTATGTAAATGAGCATCACTCTGTGTTTAGCGTCAGAGCCGGTGCCTGATAACTTGATGGGAGGCTTGAAGACAGAAAAGAGGGTCACAGTTGCTGCAGCTGCCCAATTTGTTGCAGCTGTTGCTGTGTTTTGTTTTCTCACCTTTAGGTTGTGATTGCAAATTGCTCGACATCGTCTCAGTCTGTGTTTACTCTGGATGTCTTAATACACAAACTTCCCCTCAGTGTTGCAATCAGCCTGAATTTCATCAAATGTAATTACAGTATTAGTCTCATTGTTCGATAGCCACACGTTGTGTGTTCTGATTTGTGATTTGCCAGACGGCTGATTGTTCAGCCTCACTAGATAAGTTTGAGGTGTTTCCTTCTTTCTGTGCCACAGTTTGCATTCTGGCTTTTGCTCCATACACGACTTTTTCAGTCCTTTTTTCTCCCTTTAGGTTGCAAAAGATCTGTTTCTGCACGTTTTCTGTTTCTGTTGTTGTTGACCAATACTTTAGCTTCTTTGCTTTCACTAGTTTTTAGAATTTTGGTATCCACGCCTCATAGGTCGACACGTAAAATGTTTTTAGACACATTTTTTCATTCTCACATCAGATGGAACAGATGTGCTCCAATTTAGTTCAATTAATTTGACTAGACAGGTGGCGAAACAGCCTGTGTACCTGAGCTGAAGCAAATGATAAGCTTTTGGATTATTTTCTGGCATTTTAACTCCCGGTTTGAACAGAAAACCTTGACATCCTGCACACCGTCAGTCGCTTAAAGTTATTAAATTAACAAAAGCGTACTCCATTTTAAACGAGTTGCCTGTAATCCAAGGGTAAAAAAAAAAAAAAGACTAAACCACTAAAATCTCCAAATGTGCATTTCTGTTATCAGGATGAAAGCTGACAACAGCACAGTTAGCTAACAGCTGATTGACTTTAGAAGAATAAAATGATCATTGAAAGGCCAGTAGATTGAATGCATCCATCAGTGGTTTTCTTGTGACTGTTTTTGTTTTTTACATGTGAAATAAGTTCAGTGGTATCTGTCAAACACTTTCTTGTCTTCTAAACCTTTTTTTTTGGAAACAGGGATGTTGTCCTGCAGTTGGAAAACTAACGAAGCTCGTTTCATCTGGCAGAAACTAATACAACAAGCTCACTGATGATTGGTTTTTACACTGTGTTTATTGGTTTTTTGTTCATTTTTTGGACGAGCGTTAGTTTGTTTTGTTGTTGAACTAAAGTGCATCATGTTGTGAAGTGTTTTGCCAGTATTGGTTGTTTTCTTCGTGGTCAAGGCCTGGCTGGTGGACAGGAACAGGAAGCAGTTAATCAGAGCTCGTCTATTTATAACAAAAGCTCAGTCTGCGACATGGGGGGCGGTTGAGCTGCTACTTGGTGCCACTCATCAGAAATGCCTTTCTGTCACGCTGAAATGTGGACTGTAAACGTTGGGCTCCATTTTCAGATCGTGTGACGCTCCACCGAGGTGATGTTGACCTCGGGGTCGCTCAGTGGGGGTCACTCATGGCAGAGTCATCTGTAGGTTCAGGCAGAGGTCACGGTGAAGCTCTGTCACACACAATAAGACAAGGAGTGCCCTGTTGGGGATAGAAAATCAAGAAAAAGCCAGGGGATAGCAAGTGTTTGTGATTGAGTAGAACATGTACATTTGTTGAGAAGCCTCTAAAGCTATTCAGGACATTTCACTTGTTAATCACAGAAAATAGTGTACTTGTTTGTGTTTTGATTATTCGTAGCTTCAACTCGGAGGTCAGGGAGGTTGTAGAGAGATCCATTGATATGAGGAGTTTACAGATCGTGAGCCCACTGGCGCACAGTTGGCTCTTTGTGCCGTTTTTTTCTCCGTGGTGGCTTGTGGTCGGGGCCCCCTGCACAAGCAGAAATAGCACAATGACGGCCATTAACATATTTTTACACAGTTACGTCACCCGGCCAAACCTCGAGCTGTACATCACTGTGTGCATCTGATGCAGCGCCACGGTTTTGCCGTGCACTGTCATCGCTGACTGGCAGACACGCACTTCCTAACAGAGAGGCTCATTCATATTTCTGCAGAGTTATCAATCAACAGCAGACAGTGTCGGTGTCACTGTCATTAATAGACACATTGTCAGTCTGCGGCCTCCTGACTGGATCTGCCAACCATGAACATTTACATCCAGACTTGGGCAGCAGCCGACTGTTCCATACTGTAGAAGTGTGGGATTTTCCAACTGTAGACGTGTGTCACTGTGCAGGGAAATGAATAAAATGTGTTGAAAAGTAAAATACAGACTTCTAGAGACAAATAACCTCACAAATCCAAACATTTACTTTCTTCCTTTTTTTTTCTTGTGCTGAGAAAATGAGATTTGTGTTCCCTCAGTGTTCAGTAGGACACTGTGCCCTCTATTGGCTGCCATAGTTACAGTCTGAGGAGAAATTTTGGTGAATTGACAAACAAATAAACAAAAAAAAAAAACAAACAAACATATATTCAGTAAATGCATGTACAGTCAAAGTATTTAGACTTCTTCCCTTTTGCACGATAAGTTAAGCTGTAGATTTATTTTAAAATGGATAAAATTACATTTTTATTCATCAGTCTGCACTTAATAACTCTGAGTGAATGTGAGAATGTGCATTTAGAAATATTTGCATTTGTTTGTATTCAAACCCTTTGTTCGGTACCGTTTGGCTGCAGAGTAGTCCGGTATTTTCAGGTAAGTCTTCTCAAGCTCTGTACACCTGGATTTATGCAGCATATCCCATTCTTCCTAAAAGATCATCTCAGGCTTTGTCAGGTTGCATGGGAAACATCTGAACGTCCATCTTCAGGTCTCTGCCCAGATGCTTTGTGAAGTTTAAGTCGCTCGGGGACAGTCGGACTCGTCCTGAAGCCACTTCAGTGTTTGCTTTGGATCACTTTGTAAAGCAGTAAAATCCTAAAGCAGGATTGAAGCAATAAAGCCTTGTACTTGGTGACATTATAAGACTCTATACAGTCACACACAGTCTGTTTTTCTTGACAGACATCAGTGTATTTGACTGATTCATCTGTGCATGATGCTGCCACCACCGTGCTTCACTATCGGGACACTGTTAGCAGGTGATGAGCAATATATAGAGTCCAGTTAATGTCCCAGAACAGAGAATCTTTTTCTTATGCTCTCAAAATCCTTTAAAGCAGGCTGTCATGTGCCTGTTACTCACGTTGCCTACGTCTAGCTGCCCTTCCATAAAGGCCTGATTGATGGAGAGCTGCTGAGATGGTCGTCCTTCCAGTCGGGTCTTCCAAAGCTCTGTTGAAGGGTTCTGGGTCACCTCTCTGACCCAGACGTTGCTCAATGTGTTGCTCAGTGTGAGTGTGGATTGATGGACTAAAAGTACCAGATAGATTAAATTTGCCAAAAGGAAACATGTCTGACTGCTTTCCAAAGCCATTGTGTCTGTATTATATCCATGTTGACATTGTGGTTTCAACCATACTGGGAGCACTGGTTAAATGTGAGCTCAGACTCCAGGAATTTGTCAGTCTGACTATTTGTGCACTTCGCTGTTGGTTTAGGTTTTTATTCTCCTCTATTAGCTGTACTTGTTGAGACATGGATAAGATGTTCATTGACTTTTTGTCTCCTCACTGTGCTCACACTGAACATTGTGATGCTGCCTCTGTGCTCCAGCTGAAAAAGGCCTCTCTGTTTGTTGTTGCTGAAGCTCCTCAGACACTCAGCAGTTTATTTCCCAGCTGATTAAAGCGCTCTTCTTTGTAGATCAGTGTTTATGTGTAATGTCTTGTTCTCATATTAAATCATGGGGCTTCCTGTTTGTTCTGCCAAGTCAGCAGCCAGTAATGCCTCAAGTGGCAGCGAACCTCTTTTTTATTTTTTATTAGTCGTTCCACAGCTTTGCTAACAATGCGTTAAATGAGCTACGTGGTCACGAGCGTGATGCTGGAACACATGGTTCAGGGAACGCAGCAAATGTTTGAGAATGTGTTCGTGCTTTTAATAGGCCGAGTGTTTGATGTCCGTAAACAGAGGCCGATGTGACGAAGCAGGATTTGAGGTTAGCCGGGTAACTCCATGTTTAATCCTGGGTTTCTGACATCACCGTGGTAACGTGCTGCACACTGAACCTGCTCCGGTTATGTTCCAGGTAAAAGCTCGGCGCTGATCGAAACCGGTTAATTTTTTCAGAAAATCATTCCTGGAAGATCCCTCAGAGCTCAGATAGTGAGCGGTTCCTAAGAAGGCCTGATAAGCAAAGATATGAAAGATATAAATCCTCCAATCGTCCTCACTTTGGGTTTTTTATTTTTCTTTTTCGTGTTGACGGCAAGAAAAGTCAAAACAATTTTATTGTTCTTCAGGCCTTTGTACGGCAATATGATCCTAAACCAGAGATTGATTAAAGTAATAAAGCCGTGTACTTGTTGACCTTCTAACTCCTTACAGTCACCGGTATGACTGATGCTTTTATATTTGTTCTTCCTCCCAAGAATAAACAATGAGGCTGAAGCTGTCGTACACATGAGAAGAACACATGAAGGCAACACGTTTAATGAAGCACACACATGTACAGGGCAGTGATATTGATAAGCTCATTTATTTTACACATTCATGCGGTCAGTATTTATTTATTTTTTTCCAGCTTTACTTCCTGATTTTGACGGCAGCAGTTGTGTTGCTTTGAGCCTGGATTATAGTTTTAAATTCCACATATTGGTTCAGGCTTATAGTTGATCCTATTGTGAGAAGTACGCAGCTCTCGACCTGTCCATGTGTGCAACTGGTCATCCGGTGCCCACATCACCCGTTTTTTCCTAAACGAGCTTAGAGCTGGATTCATTCTTTGTGGTTTATATTTCTCATGTTGTCAGTGACTGTTGATCCTTAGAGGAGCACAGACTGTAATTTATTTTTTTGTGATCTTTTTAGAAATATAACCCTTCTGGTGGCAGTTTCTGTTAAACACAGAACAAATTCAGAATCTTTTTTTTCTGGAAGCTTAATTCAGAATGGTCACTGTAAAATGGACGAGCCGGGTCAAGAAGGAAATGAAGCATCGTCTTTTATATAGCAGATGGGTTAGAGGTTAGTAGCTGGTATCCAGTATAGTCGTCCAGAGACGCCACGCAGACTCGTTCTGTCTCTCTCGTAACCTCGCATATTCTGTCGATGGAGTAAGAGCTGCTCTCAGAAGGGCGCAAAGCAGTGAAAGCCAACGTGGCTTGAACATTTATACGAAGAAGATGGTTTTATAGCAGAACCTTCTGCTGGGTGAGAAAATCGAGCGGCCAAATGGCGTGTTTGCAGCTTGTACTAGTGACCCATCACTGGCCCTTCTGCAGATAAACACAGTGCGCTTTGATTGGTTAATTGCAGCTGCTAGAAATAACAAGAAAACTAAATGAAGCTGAAGCTGGCACTTTAGACACAGGAACCAGTGTGATTGTAGGTTGAGTCTAATTCCTGAAACCTCACCAGCCTTATAAACTGCTGCTGACTGCTCAGGATTCCTCCTCTAAATGTTTGTTTTGCTGAGGTCGGCTCAGTGCATCCTGCTGGAAGAAAGACGGGTTTGTGCTGCGAGTATGCAATGGTTGTTACCCAGAATTCAGTTTACCCCTCTGTCTTACATTTCCCACTCCTCATTTGACAATTGTGTTGTTTTATTTTGCAGATTTTGTGGGTTTTTTAGGGCATAGATGGTGCCCTGATGTGTGTTCCTCTTCATTCACCTGCAGAAGGACAGGGATGTTATTTAGTCGCTTGTCTTTGCCCCTCCATCTGTTGCGCAGTAGCAATAATTTGTTGTAGTCTGAATGGACAGGTATTAAATCCAGGACAGTCTGTCTTTGAAGAGTTGTGGGATCAAAGAGTGCTGACTGCATAGCTGACCTCAAATCTCCCTCATACCTGAAGGATTAGATTAGCCCAGCATCAGTGAGCCATATCACCATATCATATTCATCACACCCTTCAGAGGCTGCTACTGCTCACACACACACACACACACACACACACACACACACACACACAGAGCGGTATCTACGCCTGAACTCACAGAGCAGATCCTCCTGACCTGCGCTGGATTTTCCCATTTGGATGATTGCCGTCTTTGTTCCAGCGGAGTTGCCCTCGCAGTGAAATAACTCACTAATGACATTAGATGGAATGAAGCTGATGTTCAGGCTCCTGTAAATAACATCAAAAGGCTGATGTGGAGCAGTTGGTCAGGCTGCCCCCTCGCATTAACCCACATTACGGCAGCTATGGACTTTTAACAGCCAGCGCGGTGTCGGACTGAGGCCTCCTAATGCTGTCTGACTGTCTGTTGGTTCCGACTGTGACTTGAGTTCTTGTCGCTGTACTGTCAGACCTCACTTTGTCTCACCAGCCCGTGGGCTTGGAAACATCTCTAAACACAACTGTGTGTTGGCACCGACTATCTGGATTTGGCTCATCATCCTCATTTCCTTTATTGGTGTTGCTCTGCACGGTTAAATTCTGCTGATTTTCCTGCTCAGTGCGTTTACAGTTGTTGGCGCGTGTGGGTCTATATATGAAAATAGATGTATAAAACTAGCTTAATTTTTCCAGATGGAGCTATGAGGAATGAAATGATGTCACTTCAGCCAATTGGGTCTAAAAACAATAAGTTTTAAACAAAATAATCGGTAGCCTGCTGGTCGGCTCTGCTGCAGGTTAGACTTGTGGCTTAATTAGACGCCACGAATACAACATCGTCTTTGGTCCTTTAGGGTTTAGGAGAATTTTCTTCATTTTGTTTTCAAACTAATGAACTGAAGCTTCTGATAAAATCCCCTCAGTATCCTCTTACGTGCTTTTTTTCACAGCTTTCCACACATACATGGAAGGTTTCTAATCTGAAGCTACACTGAAGAGTGTCGGACCTTTAGCAGCCGTATGGGACACTGTTTTTACGAGTGCATCCCTGTTGTGTTGTGTCCCACCGGTGATGCTCTACACATTCCTGCTAATGCTTTAGAACACACCAGGAAATGCACTGACTGAAATAAAGACTACTGGTTCATGCTAACGATGCGAGTTCATGAATAATGTTTAATGATGAAGGAACATGTTTGATTACAAGAAACTTTCTACAAGTTCCTTCCTCATCTTGAAAACAGCCAAAATAGTTTAATTAAGATCGACTAAGGTTTAAGTTTAGAGCTTGCAATGTCATAAACAGACAAATTAAGTTCTTACAGCACGTCTGGTTACGTCCTTTAACGGACCTTTAGGGTGCAATGAAAACTACAATAAGGAAATACAATTAAGCTGACTATTTTTATCCCTCTGTGCTCTTGAAATTTGGCACAAACATTCACTTGGTCCCAAAGAACTGATTAGAATTTGGAGGGCAAAAAACATATTTTGGCTTTAACTCAAGATTTAGATCTTCTGCGCTAACGGCTAACAGGATAAACTAATGAGGTGATGACGTTCTCCCTCCAGAAGGTTAAAGGTTCTGCAGAAACCCTGTCGTGGACATTTTTCAACAGCAAAGTTCAGAGACATTGTCACCGTATTTCACGTTTGGTCAGATGCTGAATCGGTGGCGGCATTGTTGGGAGTCTGATTGAGACTGTGGTGATCGTGTTGAGTGGAAGGTTTTGTCTGAAGCGTCTACGTTTCAGAGTTTGTAGCTTCTTTGCAGGAACATATTTGGAGCGTTGTCTACGGTCACTTTGTGTTCTGTCAGAATCAGTTTTATCGGCCAAATGTGAACACAATCACAGAATTACAGTCCTGACTTGACATTCTGACCTTTAACAATCCGAAAACCTTCCTATCCAACAGGTTTTTAGGAACAAATCTGGACAGACGTGGATGTAAAATGCAACTTGACCAGTTAGTAGAGGTGTACAGCCATGAGGTGGTAAATTCATGGGGTGTTAACAGAAGAACATTATGAAGAGACTCGGTTCCAGCTCATATTTTAAATGTACATGTGTGCATGTGTTCTCTCAGGTGTTCTTGGGACCAAACGGCGAGGTGGAGGAGTACTCTGTGATCCCTGTCCAGCCCAACACCGCCATCAGCTCAGACCTCATCCTGGACCAGAAAGAGGAGCATCTCTTCATCATGACCCACAACATGGTGCATATACTCAACACACAGAGATGCAACCTTCCTGTGCTGTAGCTAAAAACAGAAATCATTCTGACTCTCTGTTTCTGCCCCAGTTCTCCCTCTTCTGCAAAAGGCGGCATGTAGTTGGGATTATTCTAATGACCATATTTTCAATTTGCATTGTTGTGTTGAGAAATGTGGGCCAGCTATTCTGTTTTTTTAATCAGATTTTTTAGAAGCTTAGTGTGGGTGGTTTGCACGACTGAACATGATTGTGCTGTCCCGCTTCCAGCTGCAGAAGAGGCCGGTGGCCGAATGCCAGCAGCACACCGACTGTCAGTCCTGCCTGCTGGCCCACGACCCGTACTGTGGCTGGTGTGTCCTGGAGGGAAGGTGAGACAAACAGCTACAGAGATGCTCTCATCTGGTTGAAGGATTCACAGTTGGTAGCATGTCAGTCTTAATAATAACAGTAACTTTATTTATATAAAACCTGTACATACAGAGTTTACAGAGAACTTTAGACAGAGCAAGAAGGAAGAGAAGGATCAGTCCAAGTCAGCCCAAACAAAAACGGCAAAAGTAGAGAAACACATAGAACTTTTTTTTGGCAAAATAAGTCAATAACACAAAACCAGATAGAAAAATAAAAGAAGCAAAAACACTGGATCCAACCAGGAAGAAGAACAAGTGGAAGGAATGGAGGGTAAAAAAAACTACATTCTAAAAGGATCAAAACAAACAAATAAAATAAGTGAAATGAAATAAAGTAGACAATAAAATACATGACAAGTATCAAGGAGTGATTTAAAAGGAGACTGATTCTGCATCTCCTCACGTCGGTCGTTCCAAAGGAGAAGAGTCCAGATCGTAAAAGCTCTGCCTCAGATTTCAGTTTCGACTTTTAAACGGTCTGAAGGACAAATCTGAAGATCTGAGGCTCACATGGGGTCCAGAATTCTGTTAAATTAATTTGCAATTGTCTTCATTTTTGATTACATTTTATCGACTCTCACTAGTTGCAGCACTTGTTTGTTCCTCATTTTTCAGCGTTGTATAAATCTCAATTATATATTTATTGTTTATAAGACAAAGTTTCCCAAATTTCAAATGAAATGTGTGAAAGGGTTCATTTCTTACCCAGAGAAAGTAATCCAGAACATACTATCACATAAAAACTACTGAATATTATTAGTAGCTTCCACTGTTATTGTTAAAGGCGGTCCAGTTAGCAGCAGACTGTTCAATACGACATACTGAGTGTTTATTTCTTCACTGATGTGTGTGTATCTGTATGAATGACTGTAAATGTACAAATAGTCCAGCACTTCTTCTAACTTATAAACATGTTGACCAGCAGAACACCGAAGGTTTCAGTCTGTTAGGACTTGTCCAGTCAAAGCAAGTCACCAGTAAGGTTTTTAATTTGCTGTATAAAAACCAGTAAGATGCCTTCACTTACTAATGAGTTTAACCTTAAGAGTAGGCAATTACCTGTATTTAGCTGTCTGCAGGTTTAAGCACTTTCAGTGAAGGACTTTGTCTTTTGCTGGGATAAAAAAGTACAAATCCGAGTGTTTTTTGACTCAGTTTTCCTGGGCTGCAGCCACTGTGGCCACAAGTCCAGAGTGATTCACTGAAGCACGAGTAGAGACGACCCACGATGGCACAAACATGACCGAGCATCAACGTACTGGTCATTTAAAACCAAGTAAAGCTGAAGCAGCAGCCATCTCTGTACATTACAACAGATAAAATGTGCTTTTATTGCCTATGAGTCGAATGTTTTTTTCCATTATTCATAGACTTTTATAACAAGATTTGTTCTGAGCAAAGTCCGTTATAGATGATGTGCACATGAAGCTGTGAAGTGTTTTCATTAAGATTCACACAAGTCTGACTGGAAAAAAAAGAGAGACGAAACCTGCTGGCAGCATGTTTTAGATGTCGACGTGTTTTTGCCAAGTCATGTTTAAACCGACTCAGTTTGGCCTGATGGGGTTTCGTCTGAATGTGATGAAAGAACTTCGTCCCATCTGGGTCTCCTCCCCGGTCCTCTCCTTCCCCCTCTGCTCTGCCTCACCAGCTGGCCTCCACCTCTTTTTCCTGCATGTTTTGCTGCCTCAGTTTCCATGTTTACTTCTTTCATTTTCCTCCAGCTTTCCTGACCAGCCAGATTTTATTTTTTTTTTCTTGATGTTGTTTTTTTACTTTATAAACTGAAGTTTTTGTAGCTGGAGTGGAAACCAGACCAGTACATACTGAAAATGATTTAATGTGATAGTGAGCGTAACTTGTTCTTGTAGAAACGGTGAGTATGGTTCCTGTAACGCTGATGTTTCCCCTCCAGGTGTGTGCTGAAGTCCCAGTGCAGCCGTGGGAACCAGGCCGGTCAGTGGCTGTGGAGCTTTGACATGGAGCAGCAGTGTCTGACCGTCCAGGACCTGAACCCGTCCAACGTCAGCAGGGAGGAGAGCAGGACGGTGAGTCTGTAATTCATCTACATCAACTCAAGCAGCGAAGAAGCAAAACAGAACTGGAGTATAGACAAAGGACTGGAGGGAGGAGGACGATAATCTTTGTTTACGGAGCCTGTTGACATAAACGCACCTTTTTTTTTGGTTTCTTTTGAATGAAGTGAGATAATTTTCCACCTCAGGCACCGACAAGCTCTTCTTCAGAATCCCTTCCATTACAAAATACACAGATGTCTTAACTTTGAATCCAGGATGGAATCATAGCCTCCTCACATACCAAAACACCCCCAAAGCTCAGGGCAACACATCGACTCGCTGCAACTCATCCCGGATCCCTTATCGGCTGAGCTCGGAGATTTACTGTACCGGAGGATGTGGGTGATGTGTGAGCAGCCGTGTCATGGGAAGATGCTGATCGCGGCCCTGTCCTGTCATGTCCGGGTGTTGTAGGAAAGCAGCGGTGGTATCTGTCATCTGTCTGAAAGATGGAAACACAAAATATATACACAATACGCACACTGTGCTTCAGAGGATGAGTCAAGGACAGCTGCTGGTTGGATGCTTCTGAATAACTTATTTAAATTATCCCTGAATCAAGCCTGTGTTTAATTGGGAACGTTCACTCACCTGCACTGTATGAAGTATAACTTGCTGGTACCAGGTAGGACCCCGTTTGCCTTCAGAACTGCCTTAATTCTTCATGGCAAAGATTCAACAAGATCCTGGAAACATTCCTCAGAGATTGTGATCCATATTAACATGATAGCATCCTGCAGTTTTGTCAGCTGCACATCCATGATGCAAATCTCTTGTTCCAGCACATCCCAAAGGTGCTCTGCTAGATTCAGATCTGGTAACAGTGGAGGCTGTTGAAATACAGTGACCTTGTCGTCATGTTCGAGAAACCAGTTTGAGATGATCTGAGCTCAGTGACATGGTGTGTTATCAGAAGATGGTCCACTGTGGTCATAAAGGGATGGAGGTGGTCAGCAACAGCACTCAGGCAGGCTGTGGGGTTTATACGATGCTCAAGTTGTACTAAGAGGCCAAACGTGTGCCAAGAAAATATCCCCCACATTATTACACCATCAGCATCCTGAACTGTTGATTCAAGGCAGGATGGATCCATGCTTTCATGCTGTTTACACCAAATTCTGACCATCTGAATGTTGCAGCAGAAATCGAGTCTCGTCAGACCAGCCAACATTTTTTAAATCTTCTGTTGTCTGGTGTTAGTGTAGTTTGTTGCCTTAGCTTCCTGTTATTAGCTGACCCACGTGGCACCCGGAGGTCTTCTGCTGCTGTAACTCATCTGCTTCAAGTTCAGAGATGGTCGACTTTGTAATGAGTTGGAGTTACTGTTTCCTTTCTGTCATCTTGAACCAGTTCCACCTCTGACCTCTGGCATCAATGAGCCAGTTTTATCCAGAGAACTGCTGCTCAGTGGATATTTTCTCTTTTTGTACCATTCTCTGTAAAACCTAGAAAGGTCCCAGTAGAACAGCCGAACCATCCCGTCTGACACCCATGTCATGTCAGAAGTTGCCTAAATCACCTTTCTTCCTTCAGCAGGTCGTCTTGACCGTGTCTGCATGCTTGTATGCGCTGAGTCGCTGATTGGCTAATTAAAGAATGATAGCATGGATGAGGTCAGAGCTCCTGGAAATCGTCTCCTCAGGTAGCTCACACTGAAAAGGTGTTCATACTGAGCTCTGAGCTGGCTACATTCATATCCTGGAAGTGTCAGTAGAAAGCAGCTGGACTTCTCTTTAAGGTTCTTGAAGACATTTCACTGCTCTCCAACTCCAGTCCTGGGATTACCCTGAGCTGAGTGACTGAGAATCTACACACTAGTTCCATAAATAACATCGATCCTATCTGAGACACAAGGACAAACAATTAGTTGATTAATCTGTTGGTTGTTGTTCAGAAAGACAAAAGCTTTTTCATTATTCGGTTGTTCAGGAGGTACAAAAAGTTCTCGTTCCAGTTTTCTAGTAATTACCTCCTGCTGTTTGTCTTAAGAGACGTAAATGAACCAAATTAATCTGTGGAGTTGCACATGGACTAAACAAAGCTTATGTCAGGCTCTCTGTGTCTCTGTGATCACGTGATTTCATTAAAAAAAATAATTGGCTGGTTAATAGACAGGACAAATGATTGTTAGTTCAGGCCATACTTTTCTATCATCGCTGCACCGTTTTATAAATCACTCTCGTCCTATTTCACGCGTTGCCTCGAGACATTCTTTGAGAGGAATGATGTGAATCTATTCAACGAGGTTTAGCAGAATGAATCGGGAAGCGTGAGTCACACTGAACAGGATTAATGCTTGTTGTAGAGATGAATTAGTTAAAAAAAGAAAGAAATGCACCTGTTTTTTTTTTTTAAATCAACTAATACAGCTTCTATAAGACATTACAAAGTGTGTTTGTGCACAACAGTAGCTGCTCTTTATATTTATGATTGAGTTTGATTCATTCTGATTGGCTGCGAGGGGAAGCAGAGCGTTTACAGTATGTACACTTTATCTGTGTCTGTATACACTGTTTAATGTAATACTGCCTATTGGATTATGAAGATGTCGTGTCTGCTCATGTTGCTGCGAGCATCCAGCATGGAAGCAGCACGTCGCGTCTTTAAAAACAAAGTCTTGAAATGACGCTGGTTCAAATCAGGAAACGAGCTCCCAATGTCAACTTTTAGTACTTGCCAGTAAATTTCTGTGTGAAGTTTTGCACGCTAAATAGTTAAAATGAACACAAATAACCAGCGCTGCAGAGCGGGGACACTTTTATCAAGAGGAAATCCAAGAAAAGCGTAGAGGACGTCCTGTTTGACTGACAGATGATATCTTTGAAGTGCAGCAGAGAAACATCACATGACTGAGAAACATGCAGCAGATGGAGCCAGAAAGTATAAAGTACAATAACTCAAAGAGCTGCTTTGTCACCATGATTCATGTTCCTCTGGCAGGAAAATGCAATTTACTGTTCAAATCTAATTTTTGCACATTGACATTTACAAGTGAACGGATCAGATTTGTGTGTTCTGCTGTCGTTGTGACCTCCAGTGTCCTCTAAAGCAGCACAGGTGTGGACTTAATGAGACTTCTGTCCTACAAGTCTGGAAGTTGTTTAAGCACTCAGTCTGCTCTTGGACATTATTTGTAGATGCCCAACCAGTCAGGTGCTGCTGGTTGTTACAGGGATGTTTTGTTATAACAGTAGAAGAAGAAGAAGACAAAGATGAAAAAGAAGAGAAGACGAAGAAGAAGAAAAAGAAGAAGAAGGTGAAAAAGAAGACGACGAAGAAGAAGAAGATGACGACGAAGGAGAAGGCGAAGAAGATTGATAATATTGTACCTTTTAAAAATGGAGTCTACAAAGCGCTTTACAGGCAGGACAGAAAAAAAGAAAAGAAGGAAATTCAGTCAGAACATTGAACAGCAAAAGGCTGGTCAGTCCGAACAGGGTTAAAGATTCACAAAATAAATTGTACAGCAACACAAGATCAAATAGTAAAGTGCCACATTCAATGAATAGACAGAAAAAGTGGAATAAAAGAAAATGGAGTGTAAAACCATAAAATCTAAAGCGTATAATAATAGTGGTTGTTGTAATAGTACATCAGTAAATAAATAAAGGGTAGAAGAAAAATTAAATATATTAATTGGATGATAAAAATAGTAATAATAGTAAATAAAGATAGAAATAAAAATAGATATGGACAGCATCACATAAAAGCCGGCCCAGTAAAATGGGGTTTATGAAGTTCTTTAACCTTTAAATACTATTTAGGTCAAATTTGACCCATTTTGACGTTTGACAGCAGTAAAAACACACCAACCCTGAACATCCTTCCTGTAGCTTGAAATGTGATGACTTCTCCTAAAGTGACCTAAAATACACAAAAATGAAACCATTTTAACATTTTATGCGTTTGTACAGGTGCTACAAGTTCACATGGAGGCTCAGATCTGACCCGTACATCCATTGAGATGGTTTTAGATCTACCAGTGTGGATCAGATCAAGGACATGGTGGTTTTAGGGAATCTTGAACCTGTGGAACTGTACAGGCCGTGTTTTATGTGTATTTTTTATTTACATCTATTAACGTGACATCAGCTATGTAGACGTTGGAAATAGATCTTTAGTTTAAAATTCACACTTATTCCCGGTACTGAGCGGACCAGGCTGTGAAGGCACATCATATGAACCATATGTAAAGGTTTAAAGGAGGCACTGATTCAGCATTTTGACACCTGCTGTTGTGATTTAGACACACAGTGATCTACTGGCAGCTTACACCAGTGTTGTATTTCCTCTTCCCTCAGGTGTCTCTGTCCATCCCAGGGCTGCCGGTGTTAGAAAAAGGTGAGTCCTACTCCTGCTTCTTCGAGGACAGCCACAGTCCCGCCACAGTCACCGACACCGGAGTCACCTGCCATTCCCCCGACACCAGCAGAGTTCCCACGGTGCCTCCAGGACAGGGTGAGAGTCTTTAACCACAGATCTGACCAAAACCGACGCACCTGCACTTTAATCACTGCTTTGAACTTTTCAACTCAGTGCCTGGAGGTTTTCGCTGCTCGCTGTCAGAGATTAATCTTCATGTTCCTGTTTCTGTTTCTACAGTATGTTTGTGTTTGCATGATCAGACATGCCCAACATGTATCCACTTGGGTCTTTTTGTCAGAGAATCTAGGCTAACCCAATCCATTTTTCTAAGCCAGCTTACACAGCAGGGGGTAATCTGTATTTTAAAGCGTTGGACTCCCCGTAAATCTATTTTCGCCGGTGATTCTGTGCTTCGACAGCAGCTTTGGTTTTTTCCTGGTTCGGTTGTTGTTGCAGTGCAATAAGAGCAGCTTGAGAGTCGGCGGCAGCGAGGGGCTTGTAAATAAGAAGCGAAGGTCACAGTCGCCCAAACATTTACGTTATTTTTGTGTGTCTCTGTCTCACACACATAGATTCTGGTTCCCATGCCTGGATTCCTGAAAACTGCAGCTTGTTGTAGTTCTCAGGGTGCAGGACTCAGCAGGACTCAGCCCGGGGTGGGAGGTTTACTGGGATATGGACACACAGGCTGCGTTTAAGGTTCTGGCTCTGGTGGCTTACCTTCACTTAAAGAGGGTCAGCGCCGACGCTCACTTAATACAAGATGCAGCCCAAAGCCAATTGTTTCATTAGAGGTAGAGGTGAGATTCTGTCTGTTTAACAAAGCTTCTAGTAAAACTGCAAATCCTCCGTTTAAACCAACTGCATCATCTGAATGAGCAGTTTGTTTCCTTTCATACAAGCGAATCGCCTCTGGGTTGGAAGTTCAGCGAAAGGCCGCAGAATCCATCAAGCTCTGTTACAGACAGGCGGTTGGAGAGATCTTTACCTGACAAGTCACACCTGTTAGACCGAGTTCAGACTGAAGTGCAAAAGACTGGATTTAAAATCTCAGGCAGAAGCTCTGTCACAACCTGAAACTGTTTAAATCAATAAATGAATAAAAGCGACAATATAAATGTTATGTCTGAAAAGTGTGACTCAGCTCACTGACTGCCGGTAAAGTTCACCTCTGAAGACAAAGTCCACATGATTCTCAATAATACATGAAAATCAGACATTTCAGATGTTAAATAAAGATGAACTTTATCTCCTTCAGTAGGCATTCCTTTGACATATTGTGAAATATTCCAGATAGAGATTTGTTAAAGTAACGAACCACTTTGCAGATAAAAGAATCAGCGTGTTTATAAAATGTAGTCTGAACCAGAATCACAAAGCAAAGCAGGAACAGGTGTCTGAAGCTGGTGAAGATGTGGCCTAATGGATCTAAGCTCTGTGGGAAATAATAGGAACGGGAGACAAGGTGTTCATCCTGCATCATCAATGTGGCAGTAGACAGATGTTTCCAGATGTGCCGAGCATCAGCTCAGAATAGAAACGTGTGGGACCCTGATGCACCATCTACAGTCCAAAGAAGTCTTCTTACGAGGGGTTTTGATGCAAGGCGTGCAGCCAGAAGGCCATTCCTCTGATCCAAGAGACTCACCTGTGCACTGGGTGAAGAGTAGAAGTCAGTTTGTTGTCTGGAAAACAGGTTCAGGTTTGAGACTGCATCTATGGAAACGGATTTGATTGTCATCCGTGTCCTCCTCAGCGCTGAGAAGCACAACCAGAGTCTGCAGCATCATCGTGTTCTGCGTTGAGGTCACTGTTTCTTAGATGTTTATCCGTCCGTGTGTTATGCTGCTACCAAGCTGCCTGCATGGGATCTTTATTAAAACTGAACAGAGCCGGACTGACAGCGAACCCACAAGTCTAGCCAGAGAGAAGAACAACTGGCCTCAGCTACAATAAAAACAAGACGGTCTGCAGAGCGCTGATGTCATGGAGTTGGTCTGGGATTACATGAAGACGAGAAGAAAAAACTGTGGTTCAAGATGCTCAACAACCCACCTGCCAAGTACCTTAAAGACCTGTGTGCAAGGAGGAGGACTGACACCAAATCTAAACTTGATTTTTATAGTCTCTCTATTGGACTTTAAAGTTTACTGGTTTAAAAAGCTACTCAGGACATTGTTTATGAAAGAACAAGTCCCTTAAAGTCCATTAAAGCTCTGCTAGTACTGTGTAAAAGAAGGAAAGGACGCAGAAAATAGAAGATATCAGGACATGTTATCCTTTATCACAGCAAAATACCAAAGAGATAACCACTTCTTGGCAGCTTAGATTCCACTGTAGGGCTGCAATAAGAGAAATGATCTTTTTATGCAAGTTATGTTTTTGTAGTCTGTCCGTCATCTCTGCTGTTTGTGATTGGATGCTGCTCACCAAGGTTACCGCTCAGATCTGGCAATGTGGGGACTTATTTGGATGAGAAAACAAATTCAAATAGCAGAGTTGTTCCCCCGAACTGTCCTTTTTAAACATCCGTCAGTGTTTCCAGACCATCCTCCACTGACAGAACTGGTTTTTGTGTGTCTGCAGCCTCCAGGATGAGGATGGAGGTTGCACACTGGTTTCATCAGGCGCCTGTGTTCTGGCCGTGTGACCAGAAAACTTTGCGATGTGTTGTTTTGCTCACGCTTGTCCTTCTCTCTGTGTTCTGTCGTCAGATTTTGTCACCGTCACCTTGTCTCTTCGTTTCGGCGACGTCACGGTCACGGGGAGGGGTTTCACCTTCTACGACTGCACGGCTGTTAAGCAGCTGTCTGGCAGCACGCCGTGAGTTACCACCTATGATTTATCAGCTCTGCTCTGTCGGCCTGTCTCCTCCCTGCTCTACTTGCTGCAGACCTTATAATCAAGCGCCTCTGTCTCTCCGAGGCGGCGCTTTTCCATCTCGTTGCTCCATCATCCTTTGTCCCTCCATCGATTCACCCTTCACTGTGTTTTTCTATTTCTTCTGTCTCCTGTCTCTAATTCTTCTTCAAACCTGTGATTCCACGCTTTAAACGCTCCCTTTTATCTCAGCCAGATGTTCTTCATGTCAGTAGATCTTACTTACAGTATATATTACATATGCCCATGAAGGCTGCAGACGCCTGACTCTTACTTGATTTTCCATCCCTACATATTCCCGTCACGTGACTCGACTGTGCTGCTCGAGTCTGGATTTAACTCTAACTAGTGGTTATCATGTGAGAGATGGAAGAAAATTCGGCCTCATACCTGAACATTTCAATTTTTATATCCTGAAATTCTTGCTTTGAGTATTCTCTAAATAGTCTTAACTACACAAATGTACAATAATCCGCCACAAGACTCTTTTTTTTTCTTGGGACATTTTTACTCACTGCAGGATCACTTTCACTGCAATAAAAAGTCCTGCATCACTATGGAAACAGCAAAACCAGGACTAGATGTAGCAAAAACTCAAAACAAAGTTATGATGCCATGAATCAGAAACAAGTTCAATTGGAAAAACCTGGAATCAGCATGGAATCAGTCATTTACAAGCATCTTTGTCTTGGGATGTGTCACATTTTTACTCACTTTCACTACAATATAAAGTCCTGCGTCACTATGGAAACAGCAAAACCAGGACTAGAGGTAGAGAGAAATCTGTAATGTGTTTGTGCATTATTGCAAAGTTATCATGCCATAAATCATAAAAAAAAATTTGATTTTTTTTCAAAATTATTTTTCACAGCTATACAGTCGTCCTCAAATCTATTCATATCCGTCCATTAAAGAAACGGCAAAATTCACAAAAGTCACTCAAATAACTAGAAACTGAAAAAAGTGATAATAAATAAGAATTTGCTAAATTATAATATAGTGAAATAAGACATTGCTTTTGAATTGTGGGTGAAAAGAATAATTTAAAAAATAAAAAACTGTCCCGGACAAATTAGAGCACTTTGCTGATGAGCAGTGAACCCAGAACACCTGTCAACAGGTGCAAACGTCTGACTGAGAGTTACAGGAAACACCTGATGGCAGTGATTGGCTCAAAGAGTGGTTCAACAAAATACTAGTTCACAGGTCCCATCATGCTTGTTTTTTGTTTGTTTGTTTTTTATATTTTTGTTGAACCACAATTCAAAAGAAATGTCATGATTTTCATTAAATTTTTATTTATCATTACTTTTGCCAACTTATTTCAGTGACAGCTCTTTGTTTCCTTCTTTCATGGGAGGGTATGAATATGAATGCAGTCCTGCACCTCTATGGACACACTGTGGAGAGAGAACTTCAAATTGTAGTTGTGCACCGTAGGCAGATATAATCCATGAATCATTAAAGAAAGAGAGAATTGAAATGTTAGATTTTTTTGCAGGTGCAGGTATCAGATTTTTTTTAACTGACTTTCAACTCAGTTTAAAACTATTTAATGCTGCCAGAGGACAGTGTGCAGTGAATATGAATATGAATATGCTTCAGATGATGATCAGGTGAAGAAACAAAGCTGCTCTTTTTTTTCTTTCGTGAAGCTAATAATGATGATGATCTCTGGAAGAACATGTTGCTCCGTCTGAACCTCGCTGTGTGCTGAACGCCTGCTGAGTGTCTCTCCTGATGGGCTTCCTTGTGTACTCACTCTCACTGTTCCCTCTCATCCTGCCACTCTGCTAAGAAACTGAAGCTGGATTCAATTAAACCGCTTGACCTTTCTTACACACTGCAGGCCAACCGGCGGCAATTGGATTACGCTGCGTGGCACAAGCTGCAATAGCTGCATCTCTTCCTCTGTGCCATTCTGTCTCTTATCCCACCTCTAGATAAACAGTCCGTACTGTTTCTACCACTTCCACCCTGACTCAGTGTTGACTTTCTGCCTCTGATGTGTGTCTCCTGCCTTCAGTTGCCGTGGTTGCGTTTTGAGCCGATGGGGCTGCAACTGGTGCGTTCACCAGCACTCGTGCACCCACAAGCCCACCTGTGAGGAAGGCGTGGTCATCTACAACCAACACGTAAGTCCCGGCGGTCGAACTGAGGATGGTGTGCAGGAGCAAAGTGTAAAATACTGTTAAAGGAAAAGTGCTCTGTTAAAGAAAGCATCTGTTTCAGAGGTAGAACATCAATGATGTCGTTTTCCAGCAGCAACACGTGTGAACTTACAACCACAAAAACCACCAATAGCTGGTTCAGTTGTTGTATTTTATTTTATTTTTTCAAAATAAAAGCCCTTGATTGTGCTTGTTTAAAACCAGATTGTTAACTTGACAGGAGTGTTTTTGATTCATAAGAACCTGGTAAGTAGATAAATGTTCAGGCGTCCTGTTGTGTGTGTTGTTGTGCCTCATGTTTGTAACCAGACGTCACCGCTGATCATTCCTCATACGCAGCAATAACAGCAGCTCATGTCTGTAACATCACCTTTGAGTTGTTTTTCCATTTTACTTTAAGTTTTTTTGTTTCTGTCTCACCCTCCTCTCCTCATGTCTTCCTCCCCTCCTCCCTCCCCCCCAGTTTAAACTCCCCACCTCACCTCCTCCCACAACCAAAACTCTAAAAGTCGTCACGACAGCCGCCACCACCACGGTTGCCCGGACAACCACCACCACGGCAACCACCACGGCTCCTCCCACAACAACAACAACAACCACCACAACTATTGCAACTACAACTACGACTGCAGCCCCTGTCACTGTAGCAACCACCCAGGAGCCCACCACCCGTCCAGCACCCACCACCCCACCCGTGACCACCACCAGCCCCGAGCCAACCACCCCGCCCACCACCCTGCCGCCTCGGCCCGCCAGCACCCTGCCACCCAGCACAGCAGCACCCACCACGCCTCCACCCCCGGAGGTCGTCACCAGGAAGCAGGAGGAGGCGGAAACAGACGAACTCGTCGTCGTCACCCAGAGTCACTCCGGAGATGCTGCAGTGACGACCAGCATCGCCGTGGCGGCGGCGGAGCTGATGCCCGTCACCGTGGCGGACGGTCTGAGTGGAGATCTGGACCCCGTGGTGCCGCTGATGATCCCAGACTCCTTCCCTCCAGAGGTGTTGACAGAGGCAACACCCAACGGCTCCCAGGAAGCCGAGGGAGCCGTGAGTCTGGCCGAGCCCCCCAGCCTCGGCTCGTCCGGCTTCCCTCTGCCCACACCTTTCCCTGTGGGCGAAGCGGCCGACTCCGAGCCCTCCCTTCCCCTGGACGTGTCCCCGACGCTGCTCCCCGCTCAGGACCCCCAGACCGAGGCAGGAAGCCCGGACGCCGACCCCGAGGTCCTCCTCTGGCCCAAAGAAGTGGATGTCCACACCGAGGGTGGCGTCCAGTCAGAAAATGACACGGCTACGTTTTCAGCCGCCACCGTGCTCTCAGGTGACGGGGAGGTCGACCACCCTCCCCCGTCCTACCCACACCTGCTGGATACTGACTCAGAGCTGGACTACCAGTATGATCCGGCTGATGCCTTCCTCCCGGTGAGTTCAGACGCCTCCGTTTTCCTCCTGCTGCTCCTCCTCCTCCTCCTTCTTCTGCTTCTTCTTCTTCTTCTTCTTCTTGTCAGCAGCCTCCTGGTGCTCCCAGCTCCTGACTGGACTCCTGCTAGAGTAACAAACCTTAAACCAGCTTCCCAGTCTGCCCTTCTTTCCATGCTGTCTCTGGACTTCTGTGTTCTTTTTGTTCGCTTTCATTGTAAGAACTGACTAAAAAAAAAAAAACGCAGCTGCTTCTCTACAGCACTGTGGTTTTTTTGTACATTTTGTGTTTTCTGATTTATTTTCACATCAACAACTCTGCATTACTTTAAAAATACACTTTGAAACTTGTTTTTCCTCTGAGTGCTGTGTGTGTGAGTTAAAGAAGTGAAACAGAGTCGTATGTTTGTGCAGCTTCTGTCTGACTGCAGTAGTCATGTACACATGCTTATGTATGCTTCATACACACACACTGGAGATGCTCATATTAAAGCCCAAATCAGTATCAGTGTTAATATTTAATAGTTCTGATAACAACATGTTGGCGAATGTGCATCTTTTAACCATTAAAGCATCAACAACCATTTTTAAAAGATGCCTGTAAGGAACTGTGTCCTCAAAATGTGTTAATTAAGAGATTTTTAAGCTGAAAAATCGGTAAGCCAACGAGTGTATAATGCATTTTCTAAACTGGGCATAGCAATGTGAATATTCAGATAACAGTGAAAAAAAATAGAATACCAAACTGTGGGACAGTTGAGCTTGAACTGAGGTGATGAGGACGAGATGCAAACCGTCTTCACGTGATAGAGTGACTGTACTTGTTTGTTCAGGTCCAGTGAGCGGTACAGCCTAATAGACTGACAGATACAGACTTTATTCATCCCTGTGGGGAAATTCAAGGTATCCAGTAGCTCACACTCATCATAGGTCAGGAAAACAACATACAGAAGAACGTGCAAATCATGAAATAGAAATAAAATGCCCAAAATGCTGCTATTTACTAAAAAAGATGCAAAATTGTTGGTATTTACAATAAACACAGTAGTAAAATAAATATAAAATGGTATTACTAGTGAGCATATAGGAGGGGTGTGATGGATGGGTCCTCGTGGGTCAGGATTGTCGTCGTATTGCACAGTTGAGATGAGAATGGGAAAAGTTTCCACTGAACTCTCAGCATTCACTGGGACACCTAATGCAGAAGTCAGACTTCGGCTCCCTCGTCGGCTGTGACAACAATCAGTGAGTCCTCCGGTACAGTTGGTATTCCTGTTAAATTAGTCCACTCCTCTGTTCGAGACATTACCTAATTCTCAGGAAAACATGAGCAAACAGAAGCTGCATCCAGATAGATGAGCCCCGACAACAACCCGCAAACTGATCAGTGTCAGCGAGACGGTTTCAAGAGTGACTCATTTTTCATTAGAAAAGTGTGCAACCTCACTTCCTCTTGAAGATTCACTAAATTCTTCTTGAAAACCACCAGATTGTGCCACAGTATGGCTGCAGCTGGCGGTGGTTGGGAATCCCCGCCAATCCGAGGTCTAAATGAAGTCATACTCCAGATATTTATCCTCATATTTCCTGCTTTCTGCATGTTTTTCCCCTTTGATTCGTACCCTGCTGGTCGCTCTTTGGCAGCATCGCTTTGGGATTTCACTCCCACTGATTAGAAACCGCTTGATCTCTCTGTAGTCCAGAGTTACTTGTGCAAACAGGAGCTGGTGTCTGGAGTGTGTGTTTACCATGCAGCCTATAGGTGGAGCTGTTATCCAACTATTTTATATAGTTATTCTTACTGGAACACCCTCTGGAAGTTCAAAATAAGAACCACTTAGGAAGTTAGTAAGTGTTTGGTAAATGTTTGCTTTAATTCACCTCCTGGTTTGTAGAGAAACACAGTGTGTGTATGAATGTAGACATAAGCTCAGTGTGAAGACGAGAGGCCCGGTGTGTTAATGTCGTCGGTGTGTATTGAACAACAGGGGGACGAGGGCTCCTACGTCAGCTGGGGCTCCTCAGCGTGTCCCTGTGTGGAGAAGGTCCAGGGTTCATCACTGCTGCCCGTCAGGGTGGAGAGGAAGATCACTCTGCTGGCTCGCAACCTGCACTTATATCAGGTACAACACACACACACACACACACACACACACACACACACACACTGAGGCTGCAACTGCAACAGGAATGAGTTTGACCTCTTTACCAAACTGGAGTCTGCGTGTTTTCAGGATGCAGAACTGGACTACGAGTGTGTGCTGGTGATCGAGGGCCAGACGGTGGTGGTGGACGCCTACGTGGAGACTGATGACATCAATCCATCCAACTTTGACATCACATGTCAGCTACACCAGGTTGGTTATTGTTATTAAAGGGGTGTCTGTGAAGATTCTCAGTCATCCAGGTCCTGGTTCTTCTGGTGGATTAATCGTAGCAACTGGACCTGCTTGAGTTCCTTGAAGACGTTCCACCTCTCATCCAAGAGGCTTCATCAGTTCTGACTAGTTGGGAGATCCAGATACTTACATCCTAAAGGAGCCATTAACACCTGAGTTTGGGTTTCAATCAGGGGTTTGTTGCTCCTCCTCCTCGTTATGATGGTCGTTAGTGCTCTACCTGCTGCAAAGGGGCTCGTTAGGGTCTCTGTGGCTCGGTGTGGATGTGGTTTCATCTTCCTGGGGAGAGATCTTAGGACTGAACTGTAAACAGGTGAGAGGTGATGCCTCAGACCTCCATCTCTGCTGAGGGATGGTCTGTCCAGTTTGACACAGATGATCTTTCACTCCTCTCTCAAACCATCTGTCCTCCTGCAGGCCAACATCTGTACGTAGCCAACAACAAGCCGTATGAAACCAAACAGGGCTTCAGACTAACTTTACATGTTTTTCACCGCACCACTAAAATATGTAACCAATTGTCCTGACAGTAACAGAAAGGCTGAGAATCCACACGGTCAGCAGCAGGAGGTAGTGGTGGGTTTATTTCTGACTGGTCAATAGTGCATTTATAATGACTGGTGGCAACTGGCCGACCTCTCCAGAATAAACCAGTCTGATGTCCACTCTCCAAACCAAAAGTGACATGACACGCCTCATGGTTTTGATCAGACATCAGCAGGGGCACATTAATGTGATGGGGCATTTCTGTTAGCAAATAAAGACTATTACTAGAATGGAATAAGGCCAACTAAAATACTTTAAAGCTCATACGCAAAATGTCAGGAAGCTAAAATACAAAAATAAAAAAATCTGCAGTGATTCTTATGGGGCAGCCCACACCTCTAGAAACACCTGTGAGTCAAAGCACAGGGCACAGTTCTGCAGTTTAATGCATGCACAGCGCCCAGAGCTGCAGCGTTCTGCGATGTAGCACAGAAAGCAAGTGGGAGACAAAGCAAGGCTACGCATGCACACATAGACCTGTGTGATAAAAACCAGTACAACCAGTGAAAATGCTGCAAAATGCTCACTTTCTGGAGCCCTGTCACACTAAATACCAGTCAGTATTTATATATATATACAATTTCATCCAGCTTTTCTAGTTTAAACATGACAAAGTGCAGCCTCAGAATTTCTTGCGTTCATGTTGCTTCCAACCAACTTTGATGAAGATTCTACGTTTTTGTATGTTGTTTGTCAGAAATGGGATAATTCTGCCTCATGCTGCCCTCATGTCTGTTAACAGGATGGACAAAGCATTTCTCAGTATTAGCGTATTAGATCTCACAGGCGTCGATGAGTGTGGATCCAGTAAACGTAACTGACAGCAGCTGGTTTTTGTGTCTGTTTAGTACTCGTACTCAGCTCTGGTGGAGGAATACAGCGCCATGGTTTACGTGAAGAGGAGGGACACCTTCCATGTGGACAGTTCTCCTGATCTCTCCGGTGAGGTCACAGTCATGTCCTTAAGTTTTTAGATCACATTCTGTTTGATATTATGATGTTACAACCTGACCACAACACACAACCCCACCGTGCCTGAACCACCGCTCTCCTGTACGCTCTGTCCTCAGTGACTCTGTACAACTGCTCCGTGGGACGGTCCGACTGCAGCCGCTGCCACACGGCCGACCAGAAGTACGGCTGTGTTTGGTGCGGCGGGCCTCGGGCCAGCTGCTTGTACTCAGACTCCTGCAGTGAACCCGTGCAGCAGACGTGTCCGGCTCCCGTCATACACTCTGTGAGTACTGACCTGGACCTCAGCGCCTTGTGGATGTGGGAGACACTCACTGGGTCATTCACCTGCATCATTAATACATAGTGACACCTGATGTATGGAGGCGCATTGTATATACAAAACGGAAAAAAAAGATTTTAATTATGACCTCTGTTTTTCTTAATTGTGACTTCATTATAATGAGGAAAATGTCAAAACCATGAAAAGAGACTGTAGGAGATGTTAATGCGGCTCAGTGAGGAGTTCAGTAAAATGTTCTTAAGGTCTGTTTTCTGTATTTGTTTGTTTACATTTTTTGAACGTTAAGCGCATCAAATTAGCTACGAATAGTTTGGATGGACTGATGGTTCTCAGCATTTATTTGCTTCAGTCATTAGAGACAGCCATGTCTCAAAGAGTCACACTGAGTCTAATAATATACGCAACAATTGTGTGCGCTCAGATTTCACAGTTAAACTGACTTCTTGTTGTTTTTAGAACAACAGGAACTGTTTTTGCTTCATATCTCTCCCTCTGCACCACCCTTAGTTTATAAACTCCTGGAAAACTGCCAACTTTTGATTGATATTTCAGTAAACGGCCTAATTATGGTGAACGGTAAATGGTCTGCACTGATATAGAGCTTTTATCCAAAGCGCTTCACAATGGTTCTCATTCACCCATTCACACACTTTCATACACCAATGGCGACAGAGCTGCCATGCAAGGTGCTGCTGCCACTGGGAGCAACTTTGGGTTCAGTGTCTTGCTCGCCAGCCTTGTGATTGGAGGACAAGCCGCTCTACCACCTGAGCCACAGCCGCCCCAATTATGTCCTACAGAAGTCATAATTACTAGATGATGCTTCTCTTCAGTGAATGCAATGCGCTGTTACTGCAGTGCATCCAGAAAGAAAAACATTCAAGTGAAGCATTTCCTGATGTCCTTCAGATTGAGCCGCTCTCCGGCCTGTTGGAAGGAGGCACCACGGTGACCATCTCAGGCTCCAACCTGGGCCAGAAGGCCGAGGACATCCTCCACTCTGTGTCGGTAGCCGGGGTTCCCTGCACCGTCATCCCCAGCCTGTACGAGGTCTCCTCCAGGTACAGACGACCTGCCGCTGTTTCAGCTTAACTAAACATTGCCGAGGTGTGTGTGTGACCTACTCCCACAAAGAACAGTTAACCTGAGAGTGATGTCTGTCTTCCAGGATTGTGTGCAGGACCAAAGCCAGCGGGGGAGAGAAGGTGGGCCGCGTATCGGTGAAGGTCAGCGGAGGAGAGTTTGGTCTGTCCAGTCAGACGTTCAGCTACCAGGTGCTTTAGACTGAAAGTGACAGCAGTTCTTCATTTTGTTCATTTTCTCTGTAAAACTTGTTGCAGCAGCAAAACGGATGTAAACAGGAAGAAGTGAGCAATATAACAATAAGAAATCTGTTTTTTATACCAAAAAATTCACCAATCTGTAGTTTTAATTGATAGTTTTAACGTCCATCACAAATTCACAGAACTACAGATGTCTTTAAACACCTTTTTTTTCCACAATTTACAAGAAAATTCAGAGAAAATACTGGATAAGTTTGAGAATATGTCTTTTTATTTTCGGTCTCTTCAGCGCACACATGTCCAGCAGAACATTTCACACTCACCGCTGCAATCGCCAACAAAAGAACGGACATTCCTCGACTGAAAAGCTGCTCAGAAAGAATCTTGAACAATTTGTTCCATTCTTCAGAAAGCTAACATGACTGATTCTTGTCCATAAATAGCAGCTGACTGCACCCTGAAATAGAAATCTGTTTTAATGCAGCAGGTGCAATCGCAGGTTTTTAACCACTAATCGCTTCAATTCAAACAAACTTTTTGACGTGACCACCAGCCTGTTGCTGTTTTCTCTGGAATCCTCGACATTTTGACAAACTTTTGACAAGTTTTTACAGAATTAAAAAGTGATAAATTCCGGCCTTCAGCTATGAACACCAAGGACCTGTCTGCACAATAAACACCGTACATGCCATTTGCTCTTGTGGTTGTTACGACTCTGGCTGCAACCTCTGGAGAACCTCCAACCTTTGCACAGTCCTGTACATTCAACAGAAGACATAAGCACAGCTGTAATCTCCCTTCTTCCATCCTTTCCTCCCTCTCAGGACCCATTTGTGATGGGGGTGTCACCTGAAAGAGGCCCCAAGGCTGGAGGAACGACTCTGACCATCACCGGCCGAAACCTGCTGACGGGCCGCCCGTTGGACCTCACTGTGACCGTAGGAGGAGTTCCCTGCAGCATGTGAGACCAACACAGCAGCACATCCACATAGAGATGACATCCACTGTGTAGCTAATGCTAAGCTAACTTTAGCTGCTGCTAATCCTCACTTTTGCAACACGTACACTGAAAGTGGGAAAAGAGGGAAAAAGATCAAGAGGCTTTTTGAGATTTGAAAATGTCCATTTAAAGAAATGAAACTGACATAACTTTTGTCTCAATGCAAAGGAATGAAACATAACAATATTGTAGTCCATTGGAGATTATTGGATCATTAGTCTATAGAAGATGAAAAACTTCCCAAACAATAGCAGCATTAGAGCAGCCCATCTTACTCATCATGTCTGAATGTGTGTCTCGTCAGGGTATCAGAGGTGCAGAACTCCAGCGTCCAGTGTGTGACGGGCAGCAGTAATAAGACAGGAGATCATCGAGTCACGCTGCACTACGGCAGCAGCCAGCGCCACCTCCACGCTGCAGGATACCGCTACACCCACAACCCCAACATCACCCACGCCTCACCGGCCAAGAGCTTCCTGGAGTACGTCTGGGAACCTTCACCCCTTGTTTTTGTTGCTTAACTTCAAAGAATTGTGCATTTCTGATGTTTTTTTTTTTCTATCTAGTGGCGGTCGATTGATCTCTGTGAAGGGCCACAACCTGGACGTGGTGCAGGAGCCTCGCATGGTGGTGACCGTCTCTCCCTTCGAGTCCATCGCCCAGAACAAGAGGAAGAAGCGAAAGAGGAGGAAGAGGAGGAGCGTAGAGGAGAGGAAGGACACGGAGAAGACCCTGGCAATGATGGTTTCTGAGCAGGTCTGTCCTGGAAACCCTCTCTGCTCTGTCAAACAGGTGTGTGGGTCGACACAGAGGAGGTCACGTGAGCGAGCTTTGAGTCTTTCTACCAGACTGATGACTTTCTTCCTTCTCCTCGTCTCATCAGTTCACAGAGCGCTGCGAAGTGAACTCCTCCTCCTTGATTCTGTGCCGCTCTCCGATGGTGGACTCCTCCGTCTGGGGCTCGAGGGTCACCGTTGAGTTCCTTCTGGACAACCTGCGCTTCGATTTCAGCCGTCTGACCTCCCAGCACTTCATCTATGAGCCCAACCCCATCCTGCGGCCCCTGAACCAGCAGGACCCTCTGAAGGCCTACCGCTACAACCCCGGCAGCTTCATCCAGCTGGAGGTTGGTGATGCACAGAGCTTTACAAATGTTACATCCCATCATTATTGTTATTGTTTTCAAGTACGAAGGCCCAAAGGATGCACAAACAAACCCACGACTACACTCCTCTGTTACTGTCTTTGTCCAAACGGGTCATTTGTAGCAGAAGAAATCCACCAAACATCATTCATGTCGTCTTCTGGTGCAGCTGCTTCTCCTTTACCACTGGCAGTGAAAGTTGATTTTAAACCACATGTTTGATGTGTGTTCAGGGGGAGAACCTGGACCTGGCCATCACTAAGGATGAGGTGGTGGTGCTGGTCGGGGAGGGCGTGTGTGCTGTGAAGACCCTGACCAGAAACCATCTGTACTGTGAGCCGCCACCTCAGCAGCCGGCACCGGGACCCAACGGCAAGAAACGCGAAGGCTCCGACAACCTGCCCGAGTTCACCGTGAGTCCTCGACGCTTCGGCTTTACAGCGGCGCAGAGTTTTAAACTTCACCCGACGCTGTTTCTAAAAGAGGAATATGTTTGTGTGTCTCAGGTCCAAATGGGCAGCCTGAACTTCTCTCTCGGAAAGGTTCAGTACGACAACCTCAGCCTGTCCACCTTCCCGCTGGAGGCTCAGATCGGAGTTGGAGTTGGCGCCTCCATTGTGGCCCTCATCGTCCTGATCATCGTGCTCATCTACAGGTCAGTGGACGGCCTGATGGTTGTCTGAATGTTTACTTTGTAGACAGGCACAGAACAGGAAAAATGACACATAAGTGCGTCCATTTTGACCAGCAGTTGCTTGGTAAAAGGGTGTTTAGCATTTATTATCATACTTAATGCACAAATAATCATTTTAATAACTGTGATGAGCAGATTTTAAGCTCATGTTGTGCCTCATCGGTTTAAAAAAAGATTGTTTTCCTGCAGCTGTGTGTTGCAAAAGAGGCTGAAATATAGAAACTGATGTAGTACGATGGTCGTTTCCAGACCAGTCCGTTCGTGCTGCCAGTTCAGATTAAATTGTTCAGCAAAATACCTGACACTGGAGAGCAAAAGTGACTCCTTCCTGCACTGTTGGTCCATTATTTGCTGCCGAAACAGCTCCAATCATCTAAAGCATGAATTGCACAAGACCTCATGTGGTATCAGGCACCACGGCTGATGAACAGAGTTATTTGAGCGCCTCTCCCAGTGTCTTTGGCCCCAGCTCAGGTCTTTACACCTGCCCATTATTCTAGTATTGAATACGTTGGTTATGAGAACCAACCGTTCACATTCTGTTTAATTTCTGATTCTATTTCTACAGTATATCTCACATTACTGCTTTTATCTGTGAGTTGTCACAACGTGTTATTTCGTCCGTCTACATAAAGCATGTGGGCAGACGGAGGTTCACATCAGTCACTGAAGGCTTTAATGGCACAACAGATTTTAAAGTCTGTCAGTGATGCAGCCTCTTCTTCATTCTTAATATAATCAAAGTCCTCCAGCAGTAACGGTCTCTAATGCACACCAGCTGCCCGCTATGGCCGCCCTGCTGTAATCGTCAGGTCGAAGCCAAACGGAGCATTTATGGAACAAACACCTACATGAAAAAATATTAGTTAAAAGCTTGTTGAAGAAACTAATTTAGCGAAATAAATGTCTGAAAAGGGCTTCACATTTCCACTGTGCCAAAAATCAGTTCACTAGCATGAGCTCCGGATCAAATAAGTTTGTTGCAGCAACATGTTGGACTTCAGGAACTGATCAAGGATTCATTTTATTGCTTAATGATTGATTGTCCTTGTAGTTTTATTTAATTCAAGCTCTCTGGAGGGAAAACTGAGATACTTTTAAATGCATTGACCACCACCTTAGTGACAGTTTTGCTGGTTTTATGGAGTTGGTCTAACGATGCAGCTTCACTGCTCAGTCATTGGGCCACTTTAACAACATTAAGCGTGTGAGCAGTCACCAAGTTTTCAGCATCAGAACTGTCATTACTGAGTTTTACTAACTAGCCAGTGTTTCCTTTGTGACCCAGCACGACCCTGCGATTAACCCTGATCCTTTACTGGTGGGGGTTTGTCAGGTCAGATTACTTGAGTCAACCCTTTCACGACTTCACTGGATTTCCGCTAATCCAGTGTGAAACTGCTTTTTCTTTTCCTCTCTCCTCTGTCCCTGCCTGACCCCTCTGGTTCCGTCTGCTAGGAGAAAGAGCAAGCAGGCTCTCCGGGACTACAAGAAGGTCCAGATCCAGCTGGAGAACCTGGAGACCAGCGTGAGAGACCGATGCAAGAAGGAGTTTACAGGTAAAGCAATGTGAGCCGAGCAAAGTTCAGCGACCAAAGTAGAAACAGTTTAGGAGACTAAAGCCAGAGACGGAAGAATGAAAACGTTTGTTTTAGTTTGTGGATTCCAACAGATCCACTTTGTTTTCACACCATTAGTCGGTTACATCACGCCGCCCGGATGAACCGGTCCTTACATCCCACATGGCTGCTGCAGAGGAGTTTAATTTTAGTCTGCCCACCCTGTCCAGTGTCAATATTTACCAGCTCCTCGCTCCCAGCACAGCTCTCAGCAGGAACTTGGAATATAATAAATATGAGAAGCCAAAGACAGAAGGACTTGCAGCAGCAGCACCTCCTCACCTTTCACCTCTCCTCCTTCACCCTCACCAGACCTGATGACCGAGATGATGGACATGTCCAGCGACCTGGTGGGCTCGGGCATCCCCTTCCTCGACTACCGCATGTACGCCGAGCGCATTTTCTTCCCCGGCCACCGTGAGTCTCCACTGAGGCGAGACCTGGACGTCCAGGAGTGTCGGCGGCAGACGGTGGAGCAGGGCCTGGTGCAGCTGTCCAACCTGCTCAACAGCAAACTCTTCCTCACTAAGGTGGTCACCGTCACCTTCACGGCTAACATTAAGTTTTGTAGAGAACACATCCTTTAACTTATCTGTTCTTCCTCTCAGTTCATTCACACTCTGGAGAGCCAGCGGACCTTCTCTCCCAGAGACCGAGCCTACGTGGCCTCGCTGCTGACGGTGGCGCTCCACGGAAAGCTGGAGTATTTCACCGACATCCTCAAGACTCTTTTGAACGACCTGGTGGAGCAGTACGTGGCCAAGAACCCCAAACTGATGCTGCGAAGGTAAGGACAGGAAGGAGATCAGAGTGTGGAGGTTCCAAAAAACCAAAAGTTCTGCAGCTGCTACAACTGTTTGTGTCTTTCTGCAGAACGGAGACGGTGGTGGAGAAGCTGCTGACCAACTGGATGTCCATCTGCCTCTATGCGTTCCTCAGGGTCAGTCAACACACTAAAATCAAATGTGCAGTCGTGACTCGATAATCCGACCCTTAATAATCTGAAAACCTTGTTATCTGACAGGTTTGTAGGAAAAACGAATGAAACCCAAATTTCCAGAGACTATAAAGTTCTATTGGGACCAGCCCTACTAGTTATTATAACAACTATGAACAACAAATATTAACAACTAATGAGCCTTCCAGCATCAAGCCCTCCTTGTATCTGGACCTCCGTCTTGACAATCCGACAGCCTTGATATCCGACATAGAAGAAGGTTTTACATTTAGTGTCAGATCATCGAGTCTCGACTGTACTTTCTTTATTATGTAACATTTAACAGTATCTGATGTTTGTCTTAGTGGACGGCTGCTGGTAAGAACATGGTGGGAAAACTTTGTGTGGGAAAGTCACGGAGGGAGATGTTCTCCAGATGTGCCGATTTCATGAGAAAAAAAACATGTTCTGCTGAACCGTCTCGTCATGATTTCACAGGACTCAGATTCAGTTGTGTTAACAGTACATTTAGAACAGATTTAATACTCAGAGCCTTTTAGTTTTTGCACATTTTTCAAATCTACGCTCAATTATCTACAATATATAAACCAACAGATGTATTTTCCACACAGTTACTAATTTCCCAATTTACAACTTATTTTATTTAGAAGTTTAAAATGTATTTCAGGCTGTAGTCAGTAAGAGACAGTGAGGTGAGAAACAAACTCACATTAAGGGTTTTTATCCATGCAGGTAGATTCACGGCTTGATTGTGGTGACGAGAGATTCAGATGTTCTCTCTTCAAATGACAACGTGTCATTGTTTTGTTTTGTTTTTAAATCAACCAGGTAGATAATATGCATGTTTCACTTATTTTAAAATCATAAATAGTTTGTAATATGTGAAAGGCATTTATTCCTTACAGTAAGCGTCCAGTGTGACTCTCACAGTGTCGCTTTTAAAGAGCAGATCAAAGCACTGACGTGTTTGAAGGGTGAAAGAAAAAGTCCTCAGCGATGATCAAATATTCAGCCGAGCTTCAGTCAATAGCGAAAATAGCGAGTGTCCTTTATCTCAGAGTTTGCAGAATGATGGGCAACCTTTACAGCGTCTTTGGCTCAAAGTTATGAGCCGCTGATTTAAAGTAGGTGAAAGAATGTCCTTCGTTCTCTCCTGCAGAGTGCTTGGTCAGGACTAATTGACTTCTGTGTGTGTGTGTGTGTGTGTGTGTGTGCGTGTGTGTGTGTCTGTGTGCGTGTGTGTGTGTCTGTGTGTGTGTGTGTGTGCAGGACTCGGCGGGGGAGTCTCTGTACATGCTGTTCAGGGCAATAAAGCACCAGGTAGATAAAGGACCTGTGGACGCTGTGACCGGGAAGGCCAAGTACACCCTCAATGACAACCGCCTGCTGCGTGAGGACGTCGAGTACAAGACTCTGGTGAGGAGACTTTAAACTAAATAATCACTCGCATCTAATGAAGGATTCCCATGACCTTCAACCCTCCTCCTCCTCTCTCCTGCAGACGCTGAACGTCCTGGTGCAGGGCGGAGGAGTGAACGAGACCCAGCCGCTGCCCTCCAAAGTGCTCGACTGCGACACCATCACACAGGTGAAAGAGAAGCTGCTGGATCAGGTGTACAAGGGCACCTCCTTCTCCCACCGGCCCCACGCCGACTCCCTGGACCTGGGTGAGGATCCACTCACAGAAGGTTTAGATTCACTTAAATGCGTTCTTTAGAGGGGCGCCGCTGTGGTGGAGTCGTTACGTCACACCCAGAAGGTTCTGGGTTTGGACCTGCTGGATGGCCTTTCTGTGACGGGTTTGCATGTTTTTTTCTGTGCCTGGTAGGTTCATGTGTGACTCTTAGTTGGGTGTAGGTGTGAGTGTAGCTACAGCTAATGATTGGACGAGCATTCTGGACCGCACTCATTGGTTTCACTAAATGAATTTGTTCTAGAAATGGACAAAAGGTTGCAGCGTTTATTTTAACTGCTCTGAATTCAAACACCATCTGTGGCAGTAGAGAGAGAGGACTTATGAACTGCTGCTGGCCTCAAGAGCCTTCTTCATATATTTCTTGAGCTGTGGCGCCCCCTACAGCAAGAGAAGAGTAAATACAAGAGCATTCATTTACTGGTCAGTCTTTGACCGTTGTTCACCTTTATCAGCTCCTAGTGATCAGTGAAAAGGTGGAGGGAGGAATGTATATGGTGGCCTACATGCTCCCAAACACCAAAACCTCCACAGGGTGCCTTTAACATGTCGGTGAGCTGCTAATACCGATATGATAACTCAGATTACACAAACATTCTGATGGAAGCCACCAAACAGTGTGCATGCACATCTTCCATTGTGTTACGTTGCTGTGAACAAGGGGATGATGGGAGTGACTAAAGATGTGATGGAAGCCGGGTTAAGGGAAGAAGAAACTGATCAGAGAATTAAAAAAAAAAAAGAACAACAAATGAATCAACAGAAACAAGCTTCTTAATAAAGATAATGAGAAGCACCACACATACACAAAGACAGTCCACTAGCTGCTGATCTGACCCACAATGTTCAGGGCAGTCTGGCTTTTAGACTCCTGGTTGATTGCAGAGTGGCCACAGGTGACCCGGCCTCTCCCAGTCCTTCTCAGGGCGTCACCTGAAAAAGACAAAAACACACAGAACCTACCTGTGCACATACATCCAGCACTGAGGGCTGGAACACATTAGAAATACATGACATTCAGAGGCACGAGGGTTTGTTATGGCCCATGTGCATGAACTGTGCTGACGCTGCGGCTGCTGTCTCCTGTTCAGAGTGGAGGTCTGGTGTTGCCGGTCATCTCATCCTATCAGACGAGGACTTGACCTCTGTGGTTCAGGGCAACTGGAAACGGCTCAACACGCTGCAGCATTACAAGGTAACGCCGAGTCCCCCAGAGTGTGTTAGGTGGTGAAAGGAAACGGTGTGGTTAAATATTGATGACGGCTCTTTTGCTCATCAGGTCCCAGACGGTGCGACAGTCGCGCTGGTCCCCCGTCACACTAAACACATTCACCATGACAACCACGACTACGTGGCCGGAGAGAGTGAGTTCCTCTAGCAATAATAAATCTGATTTTTACTGAACTGAAAGCTGTTTTACTGTCCTAGCTTTCATTTAGCTTTTTTTTTTTTGTTGCTGTCATTTTTCAAATAATGACAGTTAATTATTTTTTACTTAAAACCCTGAGAGTCTCACTGAAGCCCTTCACATGTTTGTGCAGAGACTCCGATGCTGGAGGATGCGGATGAAGGCGGCGTGAGACTGTGGCATCTGGTGAAGGCCAGCGAGGAGCCCGAGCTGCCCAAACACCGCCGAGGCAGCCTGAGAGAGCGAGAACGGGCCAAGGCCATCCCCGAGATCTACCTGACCCGCCTGCTGTCCATGAAGGTACACAGTCAGGTTTATTATATTCAAACATTGTGTAGCACCAACAAGTCTCTAAATGCAAATAAAAATATAATCACAGATAAAAACAAATAAACAAAAAGATATTGAAAGCAGCGGCTCCTTTCACTGAGGTGGATTTATTGTGCTTACTGAAGGCTTTCAAACTGAGTTACGGGCAAATCAAAGTTTGCAGTTCTTTGTCCCACATCATAAGAGCAGCAGAGCAGTGGTTCTAATAGTGCTTTGCTCATTTACGATAAAGTGTCACATGTAGGAGTCGAGATCTGCTCAAACGTTGCTGCTTTAGACAATAAAGTCCATTTTGAACTGAACCACAGCCTGTTTAAGACAAACTGGAAACGAGTGAAGTCTGTTTATGATTAAAAAATCATCTGAAGTCTGTTTAAACCATAACTTCCTCCCATTTCTAAGTGTTTCTAATGTTGCATAACTTTGTGATCATTTTATAAACTGAGCTACAGAAAACAAATGAAGTTCAGCAAACGTTGTTTAAACTTCTCAACACACAACTAAATCCTGCGTGGTCGTGTTTCTCAGGGGACGCTGCAGAAGTTTGTAGACGATCTGTTCACGGTGATCCTCAGCACCAGTCGTCCCGTCCCGCTCGCTGTCAAATACTTCTTCGACCTGCTGGACGACCAGGCAGGACAACACGGCATCTCTGACCCAGAAACTATCCACATTTGGAAGACCAACAGGTACAGTACAGCCTGACACCTGAAGAGCAGGTGATGAGTGTGTCTGTGGTAGGTGTTACATGAACCTTCCTGTGCTTCTCCAGCCTCCCGCTGCGATTCTGGATCAACATTGTGAAGAATCCTCAGTTCATCTTTGACGTGCAGGCGTCGGACCACGTGGACGCCGTGCTCTCCGTCATCGCTCAGACCTTCATGGACTCCTGCACCATCGCAGAGCACAAGCTGGGGCGGGTGAGCAGCTTGTCCTCTGAACAAAAAGCTTTTGGCTGATTGAGAAGCAGGAAGGAAAAGGAGCTGAAATGTAGGAGCTGATGAGCCAGCTGCTGTCAGTGGTCTTCCTCCATTTCTCTGCTGTGGAAATCTGCCTCTGCAAGACTATGAAGGCATTAAGATGCAAACATGTCTGAAAATAGCCCCTCTTTCTTTTTTTTAAACAGGATTCTCCCATCAACAAGCTGCTGTACGCCAGAGACATCCCCCGCTACAAACAGATGGTGGAAAGGTTGGCTTCATCTGAATCTTTATCTAGTGATTAACGCTGCTTCTGAAACAGCCAACACGAGACAGATCCACAGCAAAACATGATTTGGAATAAAATGATCAGGTTTTCTCTAAAAACATGGATCACGTGTTGTTCTGTGAGCAGCCCCTCAGTTTGTTGCTCATCACTTCTTAAAGCAGTTTATCTTCTCGGCCTCTGCAGGTACTATGCTGACATCAGACAGACCATCTCAGCCAGCGACCAGGAGATGAACTCTGCTCTGGCTGAGCTGTCCAGGGTGAGTGCAGCCACAGCCAGCAGATCACAGATCAGAGGATCGTAGAGCACAGTGAGACCTTTGTGCTTTGTGTTTTCAGAACTACTCCGGAGAGCTCAACTACCTGGTCGCACTGCACGAGCTCTACAAGTACATCAACAAATACTACGACCAGGTGCGTTTGTCGCTCACACCAGCCTGTGCAGGTGGAGCTGGACCGATATGTGAGGGTGTGCGCTGTAGAGAACAGCTCATGATGCAGACTGGACGGATTAAAGCAGAGATTTGTGTTGCCACTAAATGCAGGCGGTCGGTGTGACGGATCAAAAGTCACAACATCTGTGTGAAAGTGTTTCAGCTGAGAACATTTAAGGTTGGATCATAAACTGAAGCACTATGTTAAAGGGTCAGAGTTTATTTATTACTGGATCTTTGTTCTGTCTCGGATTTGTGTGAGTCCTTCATGGTTTTATTACATGAAGTGTTAAAGTGTCCACGTGTTAAAGTTTCAGTGAGAAACCAAAATGAGACAAAACCTGAAAACTGATTTATCAGAACAGAAAACTCATCTTGCAACCCTTCAGCTTTATCTGAGGGACCTATGAAGAGGCCTAAACTCCAGACTGGTCACCGTTTAACTAAACTGGCTGCATAAAGTAGTTAAAGTGAGATCTATCTATCGGCTTCACTGAGACATAAGTATTAATGTAATAATAACGACCACTGATCGTCACAGAGGTCAGTTTCCTGCTAAACCTATAGTTTACATGGACTTGTAAAGGCCACATACATCACAGCAGTCTTGACTTTCCAACGACTCCAATAACTGGAATCACTGAAACTGATGCATCTTAGTCACAAAAAACAATCTTTTATAGATTCGATAGAAGTCTTCTGGATGTATAACAAACATGTTGGGTCAGAAATATCAGAAAAAAACTAAATGCATGATTGTTTTCTGTGTGACAAAGACGCTCAAGGTTCAATGATTCCATCATAGAAAACTCTGATCATAGGAAACTCAAGACTGATGGTTTTTACAAATGTATGGAAACTGTTGTTCACGACTCTACTTTAAGTACTTTTTGCTCATTATGCATCCATACTTTTACTTCTACTAGAATTATTGATGCAGAACGTTTACCTGTGATGCAGTATTTGGATGCAGTTACTTTAAGCAAAGGATTAAACTGTTTCCCAGATTTGTGGAATTAAAAAAGGATCCCCTGCAGTCACTGTTTCCTTTTTTTGACTTTACAATTCTACAATCCGACCATTTCATTTGTCAGACACTTTTATCCAAAGCCACGTACATCTGAGAGCAGATAGAACACGAGCAGGGATCCAGACAGGAGAAAGCAATCTGGATAAGTGGAGCTGTAGCGCCCCCAGTGGTGGCAACAGAGACGACATTCTGACAGACATGAACATCCTGAACTAATTGTTTTTGATGAAGTGCAGTTTCGATGTTGTGTTCGTAACAATTTATTTTGATTATAAAGACTGTTAGGGATCCCAGTCAGGGAATATTAGTAGGTATGAACAAAATGTGTTTTAAAAAATTCAAATAACACAAGATTTTTTTTTTTAAACATTCAAAAAAAAATAAAAAATCTAATTTTGGAGTAATTGAAAATAAACTGAGAGACAGATATCCGTTTGTGTAGTCACCAAATAGAAATGGGTAATGAAGGTTTCAGACTGAACTGAACTGAATGATGAGGCTGCTGGTTCTCAGTTCATACACGTCTCCCCTAAAACTCATGACACATGGAAATAACGAGCAACGATTCTAAGATGATTCTGATTAATGGGACTTGGGACATGTAGTTTTTATCCATTACTGCATTTCTACAAACTGAATTTCAATTTTGCATCTCCTTGAATTGTTTTCTTCTTCTTCCAGATCATCACGGCGCTGGAGGAGGACACCACGGCGCAGAAGATGCAGCTGGGCTACAGGCTGCAGCAGATCGCCGCCGCCGTGGAGAATAAAGTCACCGACTTGTGACAGAGGAGACGACGACCAGTGTTACTGCAGAGGGTGGGAGATGAATGAAGAGACAGGCGCCCTGGTGGTTGAACTGGACCGACTCACGGGGAAACAGACTCTTCTTTTTGAGGAGGAAGGGTGGAAGTTAGGATTTATTTTTTTCTTTTAAAGCGAAGGATCAGAAGATTCAGGTTGGTGTTAAACGTTCACATCCCGGCACCTTGTTGTTTCTGATCTTCGCCAAGGAGGCTGGATGCCGAGGCCTCGAGCTCACTGTAGAATAATCAGGACGGCACACGGACGCCGGACAAGCAGAGAGTGTAAAAGACGCCCGTCAGGTTTGCTGACAGCTGGAGTGAAGTGAGCTGATCCACGTCCAGCTGATCTGATCTGAGGACTGATTAAATGGGCATCTTGTGTCGCTGTTTTCTTTCCCCTCTGGAGTCAGTTTTATCAAACTGTACCTCGTATGCCTTGTGTGCTTGTCGCTGCTGTACGGTCAGAAGTTATTTCT